GAATTTGATTAATGTTGTAAGGCTGACAGCGATCTCAATTATGAGAGAGCATGCGATGGATTCTGTTTTATATTGAGATTGACACGAGAGTCGGCCAGGGACTATTCCGCGGTCTGAACGTTACTTGTCAGTGAACAGCGTGGTGCACTGGGTGCTGTCCATCGAACATGCAGCTGCGCATCCTAAGGCCTCAGATCTCAGAGACCATGGGGAACCGTCTTTCCATGAGTTTCTTGAAGTGGGAACAACCATTCTTGACTAGATTAGGCTCACTGAGACAAAGTAGTCAGGCAGCCAGAAAATTCAAGGCCAATAGCCAGTGTGCCAACGTTCAGTCAAAATTTGCACACAACTCGAACTATTAATGAACATCGATCTGCATTCATCATGACCACATACACTACAACCAAGGGAGAAAACCTAACACCCTACAGAGAAGGATGGAGACCCGATCCTATCCACAAAGCAGCCCAGGTCTCAGACCACAACCGCACTCAAGCGCTCACCACACACAAGCTCACTCGATTTCATCAAACCCTAGGGCGAGAAACAAGTGGAACGTATGGTGGGAGACAGCGTCGAGGAAGTTGTGCCGGAGATAAAAGGAGTTTGCGAGGGAGAGGGAGCGGAACAGGGGGAAGGGGGTTGGAACGAACAAGCCGGATGTAGGTGTAGGCGTAGGTAAGTGTGGATGCGTGACAAAGCTAGTGATGCCAAATACAAAAAAGAAGACGAAGGCGAGGAGACCAGGAGGAGCCAAAATAAAGCGAGTAGAGTAGGAGATAGATAGAACATAGACAGCTTTGTGGGAACGAAAATGATGATGACGAGTCCGATGAGTGATGAGATGGATGCGAAAGACAATAACAATGATAGATATGTCACGGAAACCGATGATGTGGATCGGGCGCTTGATGAAGGGTAGTCTAGCAAGGTTCATCAGATCAGTAGACGCTAACCTCGTCCCACACCAGCGCATCCGAGAAGTCGGCGTCAACATCGAAGGTAGTGCTTGAGTCCATAGCGATGTCCTGCGTACTCGGCAGCATCTCTAGCAGTCTTTCTATTCCCATCTCTACACTGACTTGTTCCGCCCAGTTAGCTGTGTCAATCCCACTCGTAACCAGCCCCAGGCCGGCCTCCTCCATGGGAGTAGGCTCACTCAGCACCTGCGTGTTGTTCGCGTCTTCTGCCGAAGGGCAAGTGCCTGGAAGAGCGCAAGTGCCAGTCGGCGGCGACGCGAGGATCTCTGCGAACAGGCGCGTAAGGGCTGCATCTGTGGCTGCCTCGTCTTCAGGCTAAGATAAAACAGTATGAGTTTGATTGTATGTTTAGGAGTGATAAGTAACTGACCTCGATCGCAGCACTGTGGTACATCTGGATGCTCTCGCCGGTCCCGTGACTAGACGTATGCTGCCCACCCGCTGCAGGGACACTGCCGCGTGAACGGTAGTGGTCGCCACCCGTGCTAGGTGGCGAGTGGGAGTATGTGTAATCAAGGAGAGGTCGAGAGTTTCCTGTGGTGTGTCAACAGGTGCTGGCGAGTCGGATGGCGTGAGATCTGAAAGAGTAAATGCGGGACTGGGTGGGAAGTCGAATGAGTCACCCAAAAACAGCATGGGGCTATCCGTGAGCGTAGAATGCGTTGGTGCAGGAGAAAGTGGGTAAGAAAGGGTTGCTAGGGATGTCGATTTAGGTGATGAGGGGGTTGGAGATGCAGAGTCTGCTGTTGAAGGAGATTTTGGCGACGCAGGTGATGGTGCGCAAGCGGATGAGAGGATTGGAGTCGAGCTTGAAGTCTCATGGAGAGCAGACGGGTTGGCGCCTTGGGTTGCCAAGGTCCGCAACACTGCCTCATAACCCATCTCTAGCGTTCGAATGCGTTCGCGCAGCTCGGAATTTTCACGTTCTCGTTGTTCCTCGGCACGTTTTCGCTTGCGTTCCTGCTCCTGCTCAATGGTAACAACCTCGGGCTCTGAGGTGGAGCTGGCCGAGGGTGAAGCAGGGATGGTGATTGGGACACCAGCGCGAAGACGTCTATTCTCTTCCTCGAGTTCATTAACTCTACGCTCGAGAAAGGAATATTGAGCTTTTCTGCGGTCACGGGAGTTTTGTGCCGCTATGCGGTTGCGGTGTGCACGGGCCTCTTTGCGCTCTTCCGGTGTTACGGCTGAGCGAGGGCGCTTACGTGGAGGCTCCTGTATCGATACATCAGGAGAGTCTGCATGAGATGATGAGGGGGATGCAGGACGCTTGAGGAAGGAAGAGGAAGGAAGAGAAAGACTGGATGGGTCGACGAAATTTGTTGAGTGTGATGGTGACATGGTTCCACGTATGCAGTCAACTTGGCGAAGGCACTTAGGAGTCTTTAGTCGTATATATCGTTAAAAAGAGTGCTGGAGTCAACGCTAGGAAAATCGAGTGCAGGACGACGTGGCCATGAAGAGAAAGTACACGTACACAGAACACGTAGACAAAACTATAAACACAGCCACAAATACAAATAAACTGCGCAGTCGTCACCTGATCATAACGCGCAGTTCCCCCTGGGCCTGGGTGCCAACAATACTTACATCTAGATTCTCAGATCCCTCTGGCACCGTCGGCGGAGTCATATACAACTCGCCAGTTCAGTATGTACGTTTAAATGGTGGGATTGCCTTGCATTCATTTTCATCCAGAGTCTTGTCGATGACACCGCGGTACTTGACAGTGACGTCGGGCAAGTTGATATCATCCTGCCACGTAAGAGTATGCTTCATCCAGTTGTCATCATCACGCTACAGATACAAGTTAAGCGGATCCACTGCAATGATATAAAAAGACCAACCTCAGGGTAGTCCTCACGAGCGTGAGCACCTCGGGACTCTTTACGGGCTGCAGCGGCCGTCATAGTTTGGACTGCACATTGTAAAAGGTTGCGCAGCTCAAGAGTCTCAACAAGATCACTAAGATAATGACGACGTAAGCGAGGATTCGGCAAAAATAAATAACGACTGTACGAGTTCCAAATCATGCTTCTATCCTTGATACCAATATTGTCAAACGATTTGTATATCTGACGAATCTTCTGAACGCCTTCGTCGAGACTCTGCTGTGTGCTACGTGGATCATCATTTTCGCTGTTGGTTGCATGAAAATGGTAGAACACACCGGAAAAGAGCGGCATTGAATTGCATGGTTTTTTGCATCTCCAGCCTTATATCGGCAGTAGGCTTTGGGCCATTTGCATTTCTGATTCGGTCCAAGAACTCGACGGACTCGAAGCCAGCTTCCTCAGGAATAGCCTTATGAGGCTTTCCGGGAGTCAAGTTCTCCATGATATGGTGAGCACACGCGCGACCGAAGACGACGAGATCCAAGAGGGAGTTTGCGCCAAGGCGGTTCGCGCCGTGAACCGACACACACGCAGCCTCACCGGCTGCATACAGACCAGGGACAATCTTGTCCTTGCCATCCTGACCATGGTTTATGAGCGGACGCGACAAGCACAACTAGCGCAAGCTCACTTCATCAACAGTCAGCACCTCGCCGGTATATCGGGTAGGAATACCACCCACTGTCCAAAAGTCAGTCAAAGTCCGGACAGCACAATAGAGACATTAACTATTGTAATGGACAGTAGGTAGCACTGGAATAGGCTCCTTTGAGACATCGACTCCGGAAAAAATAGCAGCAGTCTCGGATATACCGGGTAACCTCTCGTGGAGAATTTCAGGGGGTAAATGGCTGAGCTGAAGGTGTATGTGGTCCTTCTGAGGTCCAGCACCACGTCCTTCACGAATCTCAATCGTCATCGAACGAGATACGACATCACGGGAAGCAAGATCCTTGGCAACGGGTGCATAACGCTCCATGAAACGTTCACCCTCGGAGTTCAAGAGGTAGCCTCCCTCGCCACGACAACCTAATGCACGTTCAGCTACGAGAAGGCAGATATCTCATAGAAAAAATGACCCTCAGAAATAAGGCAGCCAGCGCCATAAATACCAGTTGGGTGAAACTGAACAAATTCCAGATCCTGCAAAGGAAGCCCAGCACGAGCCACCATTGCATTACCATCGCCCGAACAAGTGTGTGCACTCGTGCAGCTGAAATACGCACGACCGTAACCCCCTGTCGCGAGGACCGTTTTGTGAGCCCTGAATCGGTGGAGCGTACCGTCCTCCATGTTGAGCGCGATGACTCCAACACATTCGCCATCCTGCATAATCAAGTCCAGCGCAAAGTATTCAATGAAGAATCTTGTGTTGTGTCGAAGCGACTGGCCGTAAAGGGCGTGGAGGAGGGCATGGCCGGTACGATCGGCAGCCGCAGCACAGCGGTATGCTTGGCCGTCTTTGCCATAATTCAAAGAATGACCGCCAATGGCACGTTGGTATATCTTCCCATCCCTAGTACGAGAGAATGGAACGCCATAACGTTCAAGCTAGAAACGGATATAGGTCGAACAAACAGGTATGTGAGATTTAATCCTACCTCAATAACTGACCCAGGAGCTTCGCGACACATATAATGAATAGCATCCTGGTCACCAAGCCAGTCGGAGCCTTTAACCTGTGGGAAATCGGCTCGATTACATGACTGGGGAGACCACGTCAAAGGACACGAACCGTGTCATACATGTGCCACCGCCAGTCGTCTTCCGTAATGTTCTATAGAAAACTCATCAGTGAGAAGACCGTAAAGAACTCAAAGTGTACGTACACCTAGAGCAGCATTGATACCACCCTTGGAAACGTGATATATGAACATGTCAGACATTGCTGAACATCGCTGCAACATACCTGTGCTGCGACAGTGTGGCTCCGGGTTGGGAATAGCTTGGTGATGCAAGCCGTATTGAAGCCAGCTTCCGCAAGACCGAAGGCAGCGCGAAGGCCCGCACCACCAGCACCACTACAGTGACACGTTCTTAAGTTTGCCGATTTCTTATCAGTTCGGAACGCTACTCACACGACGATAGCATCGTACTCGTGTTCGATAAGAGGATAATTGCCTGAAGACCAGGACTAAAAAGCCGTTAACTTGAAGATGCCGGAAAAGACATGGGAACTGCCAGAGATATGTACCTTGGCGTCACGGTCCTCGAGTGCCTTGATCGGATTAGTCGCAGCGATTCTCTTGACGGGAAGTGAAATGGAAAACCTGCGCTGGGGACGAAACAAAGCCCTAGAAGGCACCACCTTGAATACTGACTTCCTAAACATTGATGCGCACCGTCTACGGCAGCGAGAGTTACAAATAAATGAGCAACTTCCACAGAAAGGTAGGTAATTTCGTCAGCCGAAAACGTTCACGGCACACCATTTGGACAAATCCCGTATTTAGGCCCTATACATGTCGCAATCAAGTCCAACCTATCACAACGGGAGTGTACGTAGCAAGAGAAGCCACCAACTTCCCAACTAGTTCAGACTGCGCATGTTTCCTAAAGCCCCTCATCTTGACCTCGCGAACAGGCATCCCCGCCGCCTCCCTGATCTGCAATAGTTGGAGTAACAACGACCACTCGAACTGCATATCATCAAACAAAAGTGTCCGTAAATTCGGAAATGCATCTCGTCTCCCCGCACATGACAGGAAGCCCATCAACTGGTTCACGATACACTTGGAGACTGAGAGTGTCGTTATGCCTGAGAATGCGTGGGCAAGGGCATGCCATCCGTCGTATGTCATGGACCTGCTACACAATGTGAGAAGGCGTACAGAGGGGAAGGGCGGTGCTCCACGGTTCAGCTTGTCCACGAGCGACTGGAGATCACGTGATGAGGTCGCAGTGTGGAAGTCCAATACCAGCTCGCGTAGCGCGGGGGCACGTATTGCCCGGAAGATGGTAGGCATGTACGTCCTGGAAATATTCGGTCCGGGTTTGAGGATCATTGTCTGGAGGAAAGGCAATTCGACGACTGGGATATCCCTGCTGCGAACATAATCCACTGGTTCACCGATCAACGTGAGATGAGTCAGTGAAGTGAGATGAGAGAGCAGGTTGCTGAAATTCTCAGGGGAAAGACCGGAAACCCACAAGCCATTTAAGGTGAGCGCCGTAAGGCGGTCTGCAGACAATAACAAGTCTGAGGAGATGGATGAGAAATTTCCTAGTTCAACAGACGTGAGTGAAGACAGACCTTCGGTGAACAAGAGATGTGGGATGTCAAGCGGATAGTGCACGATAAGCTCTTCTAGCATTGGCGCTCTTATGCGCTTGAACCCATCTAGAAGTTTTGGGAATGGGAAAGCCCCGTGAACTTCCAAGCGGCGACAGACATGAATGTGAGAAAGAATAATGCAGGATATGCGCAAGTAATCTGGGTCAGACTCAGGCAAGCCCTGACTGTGAATGCCAGTGAATCGCATGTCAAGTAGCTGTCCTTGCGAGCGAGTCAAGTAAAGATTGACGAGATCTACATTCTGCCGGAGGAAAAGTCGAATCTCTGTCCAAAGCAACGGCATCCCGAGCGCCACAGCTCTCCAATGCTGTGAAACACTCGCAAGCAGAAGCTCAGGCCTGGGGCGGAGGCGTAGACTGGTGGGGACGCATGAAGAAGAGGACTCTTCATCTGCTCTAGTTGCTTTGACTGTCTCTACAAATATCATCTCGAGGAGCTCGTTCGGAATAAACGAGATATACGACACGCCATATGTCACTAGTGCCTGGTTGAGGCGCAGCGTCTGTGTGTCCACGATGTGGTACAATAGTCGCTTTGTCTTCCCTGGCAGTCTCGCAAGGTCTTGCGTCATAGCGACACACTCAACTTTGGGTGTTATAATCCTAATCCACCAATTTCATGAGACATACGCATAGACAAAGCAGGTCACTCACATTGCCTCCCTCCTGGTAGTCTTGGTAAAAGAAAGGCTGCTTAGTTGTTCTCAGCATTGAGAATCCACACGTTTTATAATATACGATAACATGCAGGCACCGGGTACCTATTTCACCCAATCACCAAGTGACACCGGACTTGATGAGGATATCTCCAGGGCTTGCTTACCCGACTTAGGGGGACGGAGACGAAGAAGCGGCAAAACGGGCTCAGTGAAACTTGTTATCTGCGACATGAAGTTTGAATGTTCTACTTTTACGTGAACTTTGGTGGAAATGAGAGCAACAAGCGGCATATTCCGTGAACTATGACTAACCCGGAATGGGCGCTTTAACGACCCTTGTTGACAGTAGTACTACCTGCGCCTGCACCGCCCTTTATAGGGACGCTAATCATAGTCTCACACGGTCAACGCCCATATGACAGTCTCCTGATTCAATAACCATCTTATAGTAATTCTCTGAAGTTCATGCTGTGGCGGCAGGAGTACATATGATCTTGATTCCTCCAACGGCACCGCCATTCTTCAACATATGATTGGTCGGATTCTTCAAGCTTAGTTGAATCATGTAACCCTCTTGAGGTGTGGTCTCCATTGCAAACTCAAAGATGGCGTCTTGCTGAAAGCATTTCTTTCAAGTTCGGATCAAAGCTGCGCCGGACTTCTTTTCCGCAGGTGCTTCGCGGTCAGACTTGTTCCTTGAACAGAAACACATCCGAGGGGCACCGCTTGTTACCCAATCGAGTGCGCACACAGCAGCCTACAACATGAAACATAATTAGCAGCCGAGGCTGCGGAGCATGGACCGGTCTTCCAAACTCAGAGTTGGAATAGCTTTTTGAGGCGCGCCGCCATATTGGTGAGCCACTGCAGCAAATCGAGAGCGCTGTGTTGGCAGGCTTGCCGAACGGAACGAACCGTTGGCCTTCCGACTTCACCGTACAAGTACCACGCAAACAGTGAGCCACGCCACATCCGCTGGAAAGAACCGTTCTCTATCAACGGGTTTGTGGCAGTCCGAGTCCACCGAGCGACTGTGACAATGTTCAGGTCACCCTTGTGACCTTAACAGCTGTTGCTAACCTATACGCCATGTACAGTCCTCTTGGAACCACTACGTAGCAACGTACCATCCATCACTTGACTGAAAACTCTTCATGAATCTCGATAGGCTGTGGGCAGGCACATGAGGTTACTATATCCTCATGTTGGATCTTACCAAGTCTTGGCACAGTGCACAGTTTTGCGAGGATTGCGCCTTATTGCAATGGGACAGATTCACTTGTTCATGGGAAAGGAAGCAATACCATTTGATCACTTCAACGAGGGAATATACCTACTCGTCGATGTCACGGCTTGCTGACAAGTTAAGTTTATGACCTTTTGTGACTCGCTTTCAAGTTCGGTGTCTTACAGGTTGTCTCCAGGGATAATGGCGTGATGATGGTTGTGAGACCCAGGCTGATCTACTCATTCCAAATGTATGCTCAGTCCACAAGTTCTCCACAACTGTTCATCATCGACTTCTGGCTGCGTCACTACAGACGTGCTTTTACCGCCGGTCATTACACACTGATCTTATTATCCCGTCAGTTGCTTAATGAAATTTCAAAATGTTCTCTTCCTGGGAGATATCGTTGAGTTCTCCCATCCATCAAAGAAGAAGAAGCTTGCGTCAGTTTCTCCCCGGAATGGGATGTCCGTTATGATAATGGCGCAGTCACCTACCAAGAAACTAAAGTGAATGGAATTTACCGGCACTGCGCACCGCAGCCACCCCTAAGAAGTCGGCACTCGACCTGCTCTCAACACGGGTTCCCCATGTTATGGGGCGTTCAGCAAACTGTGAAGCTCACTATCATTTTCTGCAACAAACGTCGAGACACCTCGTTGCCCGTTTGGATCGCCGCCTCGCCCAGACGTAGGCTTATTGTTTCCAGTCAGAAAAAATGAACATCCCTAGCTTCCACAGGAATACCACTAACGTCCTGAGTAAAGCAAGTGTCCAGGCATCGTAAGCTTGCCGACTTATGTTTTTTTAGGAGTGGTCTTTCTGGTGGATCCATTTACTACACAAGCCTGGGTGTGTTAGCGGGAAACTAGTATTGGCCGTTGTCGGTACCTGTAAGGAAAAAATCAATGCATCAACAGATGCTTGGGATGCACAGATAAGGGATGAACCTGTATTACAGATCATCAGGCATGTGCGATCAACATCGTTCCAGTGGGCAATATCATGATCATTCTTTTTTAACAAGGATGCACCTGTTTATAAATGAAAACTGGACTAACAGACATGCCGTGACTGTTCCAGTAAAAATTCTTTCAATATGCAGTGTGTTTTGGTGACCCTGAAGTTGTCCGATGCCGACATGTAGGTGATTGTACGCACAATCGATTTGCGATCAAAGTGCAAGGTTGAAGGCTGCATTTATTTCGAACCCAGAATTCGGTACTAGTACGTATGGGTCATGCCTCCCGCTGTCTACTATCAATGAATATTACAAAAGAATGTAAATCGTTGGCTAACCCTGCTTAGTGTGCACAACGCGACTGATCCGTCAAGAATAGGTCAACGTTCAAGTTGACGACTGCATTAGAGTGTGAGAGAGGCGAGACATGAAACGATGAAGTGAGAAGTGGTCAAGTGATTGGGCCCAAAGTCGCGTAAGAAGACCTTAGCGGAGACTAGCGGAGACTATAGTGTACACTTCCTTTGGCAGTGACGAAATATTGCGCGCGCTTTACGGCCACCCATCATGTCCTTGTCCCCATCTGCAGCAACATCAAACATCTCAGATATCCCATCTAAACGGCGCAGGACGCACAGTCTTATCGCACAAAATAGCAACAACAACTTGGATCATCAAGACATGAGCCAATCTCCTGCAGACACAGCCCATTCGTCACAACAGCCGCAAGGTGCCGCACACATACCCAAGAGAGGCGCAAGAGCTTGTACCGCTTGCAGGAAGGGTAAAAACAGATGTGAAGGAGAGGTACGTCTATTCAAAACCCGCTTGCGATCATCCCCCCTCTGCTCACTGGCCCGCCTCTCCCGCCCCGGCCCGGCGTTACATTCTTTAGGCTCCTTGTCGTCGATGTCAGTTGAGTGGAACCGCTTGTGTGTTCGAGAAACCAGAGAAGAAAAATACAAATGCTATAACTGGCGCCAGTGTCGAGTAAGCTTCAGATCTGACGAACTTGCGCCATCATCACTTACACCACTCAACAGGCGCTTGTCTCGCCTCGAGGGTCAATATCTGGTACATGCTCAAAGCCTATATTTTGAGGTTATCTGACAATATCGTATTCTAGGTTATGCAGAGTCAGATGATTGGCATGCAATCCTCTTTGGACCGCATCTTATCCACCGTTCAAAGCCAGGCCTACGGTACTCAACAACAAGGGTATAATGGGGGTATGACTTCCGGGTCCAGTCGCGATGGCTCTGGATTTATGTCACGCAACGGGTATGATGCACACGGACATGTGGGAGGCCAAAATTCTCAGCCACGCTCCCATTCGAGATCATTCCCGCCACTTCCGGGATTCGCTCCGCCGGTTGGTCCGCTTGTGAGATCAATCTATAAACATCTCTGATAAACTTTTAGCCTCACAAATACGCAACTTATGGAATTGTGCCCAGTACTACACCATCGTCAGATGACGAGTCGGAGGAAACGCTGCCTCGTGCCTCGCTCAATGCGCCTATTGAAGCTCTCCAAGGTTTGGCAAATGCTGCCGCAGAAGCAGCTGCTGCGCCATCTGCCTCCCCCCCGAGGTAGTTTCATATCTGTGAGATGTACGATCATACTGATCACTTACAAAACAGGGTCAAAAAACGCCCGCGGGTGGAGCCCATTCCCCGGAATGCATTTCCGCATGTCATTGAAAAGGTGAGTTGACGAAATACTGGGCTTCTGCGCAGGTCATAACGCTATAGTCTAGGGCCTTGTCTCGGAAAGTGAGGCGCGGGAGCTCTATCATATGTAGGCATTTCGTGGATATGGTCTTGCTCCGTTCTGATTCTTGTCGAAGTTTTTTCGCTGGTTGCCACGTCTTCATACCTTTGTTCGATCCGAATTATGACACATTCGAGAGCCTGATGGAACGCACTCCGTGGACATTTGACGCGATACTTGCCATTGCAAGCAAAATCAGGAGTGGCAATGGGCCCCTCAGCTCAACGTTCTACAAGTGTCTAGAAGAAGCACAGGGCATTTCCCGTTCGTCGTTATTTGGCCCGGTAGTGAGGAAGGAAGCTGTTATGGGTGAGAATTTCGTTTTGTATGTTTTGCTGTACCATGTCTGATCAGTTTCATAGGGATGCTACTTTTAGCTGCATGGAGTACAAACGGATGGCTCCCTAGCGGCCACGCAATGCGGATGGCATTAGATCTTGGTCTTCACCGAGCATTGGAGAAACTTGCTGATGATTCAGGGAAAAAACGCACCGAGGAAGAGGAACGTGACCTGGGTATGCATAAGAGTGACTGTCCAGTTATCATCCAGAACTAATGACAATCCTAGTCGTGTCGGCGCGTATCTGGCTATGCCTGTACTGGTTTGATCACCAGTACGTCGAAGAATTTTGGCATCTTCATTTGTATCTCAACAGTCTTTTCCAGGATGAGTCTCGGCACCGGTCGCCCTATTGTACTGCGAGACGAGAGCTCCATTCGACACTGTCGTATTCTTCTGTCGCATCCAATGGCGTCACCAACGGATGTAAGGCTGATCTCGCAAGTGGAGCTCATCGCTCAAAAAAGTAAGAATAAATTCACGAGGAGATATCAATACTTCATTCGTTATTTGTAGCCCAGATTTACGAAACTCTCGCGCCCCTCAATGGGCAGGTTAATCATAATACGCTCGCCTTTTATTCGGCGTGCAAATGTTGCACTCGACAAGTGGTGGCAGGACTGTGACAATCTTCATCGTTCGTAGTTGACTTTGTCCTCTCTACGTTCCTGATCGCCTACGCAGGCCAGACAATGGACGAGAATTCTCTTCCGAGAAAAATACTCGTCGGAGAATTACACTACGCCAAACTCTGGCTCGTATGCGTAGCTCTTCGAGGTGTATCGTGGGATAAGATGCCTTTTGAGCAACGTGAACTTGCGTTCCAGGCGAAGGATGCGGCTTTTAACTGCCTTTCTATCTTCCTCAACTCTGCTGAATACCGGTCAGTTTCCGTTTTGATCGGTGCTTCGCTTGGATGATAATCATCATGATCACAGAGCGGCCTTGAGATATGCAGTCCACGACAGTCTCGTAACGGCAGCATTTTCTGGTCTCTTCCTACTCAAGATGGCAAACTTGTTTCCTGCAGAGCTTGACCTTACCGCGATCACAGCGCAAGTTGAGCAGCTTGCACAGCTTCTCTCTGATGTTGCAGCCGAACGGTGCGGTTCCCCTGTTCTTTCTTTTTTTTCTAAAAAATTAATCCCCGCTTCTAGCTACGCCCTAACGCTACGTATAATGCTTGCCAATCTCCGGCGCAAAGTCGGGATGATTACAGGGCTGAATGCACCTATGACCACCATGCCCCCACAGATCTTGAATGATGGGATTGTTACACACGGCCCAGGGCCTTACATTGATCCATCGGGATCTGCGCCTTTCACAATGGAGGAACTGGGTTTCGCATGGCCGAGCGAGCGTGCCACGTTCAGCCCGAGTGCGATACCTACGTGGTTGCAGGAGAAGAACTTGACAGACCTGGGGCTACCTGTCAACGGAAGCGATGGAATCTTTATGGATGTAAATGGCATGCATGGCTGGAGTGGAGACTTTGCATCGATGCCAGGGGCATGGTGAGGACGCGATTGTACATATGGCAGCGACGATTCCGCGCGCTGAGGGCTGGTGATATGCACTATTTTGTCTGGTATTCTGTCTCTATTGGTTTTCCTTGCTCGCTTTGTTCGTTTGTGTCCCGCTCTTGCTTGCTCATGCTTTTTTCTTGCATCAGTATTGCTAATGATATCCTACGATTTAATGTGTATCACGTGCTGAACAAACATATTGCGAATGTGAATTGTCCTACAATGCACGTACAGGGAGAGAAGATGGATAGCAACACGGAAATACACATCTAATTGGAGAGCGTATCAGCCTATAATTTACTCTTCGTCTTCGTCTTCTTCGCTTTCTTCCTGGTCCTGAAGGAACTGTCAAAGAACCAGTTTGGTGCATGATAAGACGGAAGGGGAAATTTGTTGACAAACCTTGACCAAGCCCTCGGTGGCCTTCAGGAAGTGTTGTCTTCCTTGCGGCTTGGACCCCTTTTGGTGCCAGTAAATGATCGCCTGGTCAGAAACGCAGTCCTTATTGTACAAAACCTGTGCGAATCAGTAAGTTATAAATGTATTACTGCACCATGGTGTTCATATCTAAACACACTTGGAAAAGGGGTGGGATACAAGCGATAGGATCTGGTGCCTACTGCCGAATAGGCCGACATCACGGGCGCAACGTCACATCCCAAAGGACCGGTGACAGACGAACGAAAATAGTAAGACTCGAAACACACCTTCAAGATCTGTGGGAAGGCTTTCATGACACGTGTGTCGTCATAACAGTAGACCTGTACGATATTGATCAGAGCAACCTGGGTTTTGGGGCCTTTACAGAAGGCCACGAGAACTGGGGCAAATTTCTACAGAGGGAAATGATATCAATGGAAGGTTCAACGATAGGAGAACCGGATCACTCACCCCGACCTCACGTAGTGCGAGGCCTTCTATCTGGTCAGGGCGTGCACTCCAGTCTACGGAAGCCATGAGGCCCTGCCAGATGCTCTGTATAAGCTCCGCCTCAGGGAGCCGCTGCTCTTCTAGTTTACTCTGGATTGCAGATATGATCTATGTGAATCATGAGTTATATGACTCGAAATGAGTGATACATGTGTAAAGATGACGCACTGATTCACTATCATCGCTGCGTTCTACCACCTCCTTTAATTCCTTCATGATTGCGTCTTTCGCGATCGCATATTGCTTCTTCGTGTACCAGTCGGCCACGGTAGGGAGATTTTTCTCCCGGAAAAAAGCATCGAGAACTTTAGCGTCCCTCTTGTTTGGAGGGAAGAAGAGGAGTAGATCTTTGATATTGCCGCGTTTGAGGGTCGCAGCAAGGTGATCGATCGACTGGTCGGTGAGGTATGCGCTAAAGATCAACGCAAGGATATTGATGGACTGGTCTACAGACATCCGATGAGATTCTTGCAGTCCAGCATGGTGTAGTGCGTGAGCTTACCGTTCTTGATGAGGTGATCCTTGGTTAAACTCTGCAGACAAGCTGCGGTCACGAGGCCCTGCGAAAGAAGAAGACCAAGTGTCATGGCGAGCTTGTCGCGTTGCTCGGATGACCAACGGACCGATGTACTGCAGGAGAGTGGGGAGACTTTGCTCCTCGAACGGTTTCTGAAGATATTTGAACCTACATTCATGATTAACACCACATGCACATCATATTACGCGGGACCACAATCGCATGCACCTTCGATTCAATTTGTTAAACACATCGACATACTTCTTCAACTCTTCGATGTCGGGCGGATTACGTGCGTTGAAAATAGAGAATGGCGACATGGGCGCGCCATCATCGAGATATGACCCACCCGGCTGGATGAGCCCGCCGACAAGGAGGATCTCAAACAAGGCGTCGGCATACTTGAGATACTCGAGCGTCCCACCGGCCTGTACAAGTTTAGCGCTGAATCCCTCGAAATCGTTTTCTGGAACTGTTTCAAGATGTTTGTAGAGTTGGTCTCTAAAGACTAGATGTCGACATAAGTAGCATGGTAGATTGATCGGAACTTGCTAGTCTTACCCGCTGGCTCGTGCTTTGCCTGTGCTTTGACTTGGCCTTTGCGTACTTTTGTGCGAACCCCCTGGAGTGAAGGCTTTGGGACTGCTGATTGCTGAGACATCCACAGTCTGCGAGCGATGTCGAGAGCGTGGATCAGACGATGAAATCGGGCTCAGCTGCAGTTTAACAGGACCCAACAAAGTGCTTGTTCAGTCGGAGATATCCGACTGATCAACATCGATGAGCATGTCTCTCGTCAATATCATCATGATAGTCGATTTCTTGCACTCTTATAATATGTAAGAAGTATGAGATCGATATGAACACAGCGTCCAAATCAAACAATGTGCCCTTCAAGCACTTGAGTCACTGTCGGCGCCAACCCCGCCCATGATCATCTATTATACTTGGTCTGGCTAGGCCTGAGGAAGACTAAATGCGAAACGTGTTCATCAGTTCCCAGGAGCAACATTGTCGCCTGGTGAACTTTGGTTTTTTTCTATGAGGCGTGCACCCATCGAGGTCGCTGGTGACAGTTCGATTGAATCTGAGTTGTCCGGGTTTGCAGGCGCGCTGCCAATATTATAGTTGTGAGGGTACCTGTTCATGGTCAATTGTAATCTGATCAATGATCTGCCTGTCCGACGAGCGCTAGCTGCGAAATAGTAGCTGTAGTACTTCATTCAAGTTGTGACATGATCACGGCGGTTTAGACTCATCCGAGTCATGCATCATTATGGATTCAAGCTCACGTGAGAAGTGGATCATCCGAGTCGCCGACTGGCGGCCCAAGCGAGTCCCTTAAGACCAGCCAATAGCTGCAGCACTCCTCTTTACTTTTTATCATAAAAATTTCGAGTATCAGCCATCCCGACAACGGTGAGTGACATTCGTTGTCATCGTTGATGACATCTGATATTTATGAACGTATTCTTGCCGTAAAGGAGCCTGCGACATCGCTTACCGGTCGCCTTAACGTATGTAATCATTCCAGCACAACACTTTGTTGACCCTACTGAGCTACCTCGATAAGATCGGTCAACTGACGCGCAGCACGAACTCCATGAACTTGCGTTTCACAGACTCCCCAAATGCGCGCTCAAAATCAATTACGACTGCCGATGGCATCGACACCTTTGGTGTGCGTACTATTCATGCAGTGACAATAGCGAACGCATCAGGGAGACTCATTGTATACCTAGATCTTGAATCAGCACTCTACAGGAAACGGTGCCTACAAGGTTGGTGTATCTGAGGACGTGGGCACACGACGATATATGGAAGATGCCCATTCCTTCGTCGTCGACTATGCTGGTGTGCGAGGCCAGGGATTCTTCGCTATTTTCGACGGTCACGCAGGAAAACACGCAGCTGAGTGGTGTGGCGCGCATTTTCACGAGGTTCGTATAGCCACTAGGTCTTTGTGTTAATTTAAACGCGTGATCATATGCAGTACCTCCTCGACGGACTCCGCACTTCCTCCAGCGCCACAATTCCGGACGTTCTGAATGAAACATTCCACAATGTCGACAAACGCATTTCTCGCCTCAGCGAAGAATCCGATGGCAAGATCCACTCAGGATGTACAGTTGTAACCGCCTTTCTTCGCATCGAGGATGCAGATGGACGGCAATCCTTTCTCCCCGTGCCTCCACTTTCCCCGCCCTCTCCTACTGACAGTGGGAGCCGCAGCGGGAGCGAATCTCCGACAGAGCCTACGGACGAATCCAAGGAGACAGGCAAGAAAGCAAAGAGCAAGTCCCCTGCTTCGGCTTCCCGTTTCGCCAGGGCGCTAAAATCCCTGGGCGGCTCTTCACCAAACTCACCCTCATTCCCCTCCGCATTCTCCGGTACACGTAGCCAGACATCTCCACCTTCGGTGCAAACATGCACGGTTCCAATCGATGCACCACCCAACTCGCGGCGCGTGTTATATACTGCCAACGCTGGTGACGCGCGCGGCGTACTCTGCCGCGCAGGCCGGGCAGTGCGCCTCACCTACGATCACAAGGGAAGCGATAAGCAGGAGGCGAAACGTATCACCGATGCTGGTGGATTCGTTATGAGTGGGCGCGTGAATGGTGTTTTGGCGGTAACACGCAGTCTTGGAGACAGCAGCATGAAAGAATATGTCGTTGGGAGCCCGTACACGACTGAAACCGAGTTAGGAAGCGACGACGAGTTTGTGATCCTCGCGTGTGATGGGGTAAGTAGCCTCGTTGGGTGCCTTTGCTTCGAAGAATTCATTATCGTGTGACCCTGTAGCTTTGGGATATCACGGGCGATCAGGGGGCGATTGATCTCGTGCGGCATATTTCGGATGCACAAGCAGCCGCAGAGACGCTCGTGAAGCATGCCCTTGAACGACAAACCAATGACAATGTCACTGTCCTCGTAGTACGATTTAAAGCGTCGGGATCCACAGAGTCCATGGGACTTGCCTGAGTATGGGGATGTTGATTTATTGTTCTGCTAGGGAGGGGGGCAAATGTGGAGTGTTATTCTTGCCGTGGCCGACGTCTTGCTATTGTTTTAGTTGGTTCTTGTAATCGCTTCATTTAGCGCACGAGCATTCCGTTTATCTTGACTGCACCCCGTACTCTACTAATATCCGTTCAATGTAGATTTGATGTGTGTCAGAGCTGATCGATATCCGTGAAATGGCACGTTAACACAATGAGATGCAGCCCATCACCTACGCATATGGGGTTTGCATCATGAAGTTCGTATTATAAACAAGAGAAAGCTAGCAGTATATGAGCGCATTAGCCCAGTATATATACAACTATACGATAGTTTTAGCGCAGCTGCACATACTGTAAGCACTACTGTGTACATTTGTATATGGTCAGATAGCGTAGGTGCCAGTGATGCGCCTAGAGGTCGGACCATATTGCAAAGCTCCGCTCCTCTACGAGGCTAAAGCCACCAATGATGCTGTTGACTAACTCCCACTGTTGCTTCACTGACTTCTTCTGGCCCATCGGGTATGCATCCCAACAATCAACCTTCTTCAAGTTGGGGAAAAGGCCGCTGATGATGAGAGCCACGTTCACGGGGACCTTAATGGGTGAATTTCCGAGGGCGAGGAATTTGAGACGCTCGTTGCGACATCCACCGCCGGGACTCTTGAGATCTATGCCGTTTAACTTGGTGACATTGATGACAAGAGTGAGTGAAGTCAAAGCGGGACAACGGCCAAGTAAAGTGATTAGCCCATGGAACGTCGGTATTATGGAATCGGAATCATCAGAGGGATAACATTTGATTTGGAGCACTTGGAGCTTAGGCCAGGCTGTCACCAGCTGGCCCAGCTCCTTGTTGGACATGGAAATGTAGCAGACGCTTCCAACAAGCAGTTGAGTTAGGTTGCGGCATGCGTATAATGGTGCGAAGATGCTCTGTCCTGTGTGTGTGTGTGTTTAGGATCATCTCCTTGGAGGCTGATGGATTCAAGCTTGTCGTTATCGCATCTCTCCTGGACGATGGCGAATAACCGAAGTATCGCTGTGGATTCATCCTGATCCTCGAAGTCAACCCTGATTTCTTTGGTTCTGACGAACTGAAGTGAACTCAAAAAGTCCGAAGCTTGCTCCATTGTAACAGTGGAAAGGCTCAACGATTGTAAATTATGAAAGCCGGAGAGTGATAAATCCACTATGTCCCAAGCTGAGTCTATTGTGAACTTCAAGCTCAGTGACTCCAGAGCTCGCAGCTCCGTCAAATGCTCGATGCCTTGGATTCCTAGGTCACATACCGACAATGTGTGGAGATGGTGGAGCTGAGAGATAGGTCGCGTGATGAAGGGTGAAGCTTCAAACGATAAGATGAGGGGCCGAAATCCATAGTTCAAAGACATGTTCTGGAGGCGAGGACACGATGTCCCGAGGGAGGAAAGGACCGAGAAAAAGGCGGAGGAAGCTGAAGGAATATCCATGTTCAACTCTAGTAGGGAAGGTACAAACACCATGCGCAAGAAGTCTGCAGCACAGTGGGTTCCACTGGCATGCCATTCTAATTTGCGGAGGTTCGGAAACAACAACGCAGGTGCCGAAGAACAAGATAGTACGAGTAAACAGACGGGGTTGATGGCCTCCATGTCATTCGGTACAGTAATTGAGTGCACGCGGGATGTGTATTTGAAAAGAGTATGCCACATCCTATCGTCAAGAGGTTCCTGTAATGCCTGCGTAAATGAACTTAGTCGGAAATCCACACTTATATGAAAGTAGGACACCTACAACACCTCCAAGTTCATCAAAGCCAAACAGGTCATCCGGTAAGCATTGGACAAGGGGCTTCACAGATTGCAGATCCCGCCACAGTGCATTAAGTGCTGGGTGCTCAAATGCGCGGCATGTGGATGCAAATGAGGGAAGCGAACTGCATTTCACGTATGAGCTAATCATGCATATTATTTCGAGATTTTGTAAGGCTGGGTGCATGACTCAAAGGTACTGTGATGGATATATGATAGATTCAAGTGGGAGGACGAGCTTGCAAAGTTGCACATGTTCGTCGTGACTCGTTAGTACCTGTTATCGTGGGCCACGAGGCCCCGCAAGCTTGGCACTGACCCCAGACAGCGCGTGCTCGTCACGATCAGTGCACACGTGCGGAGGTCTAGCGAGGAATCCGGCAGGAAGGGATGAGGGCGGGGTACCTGAAATAGACAGCGGAGCCGTACAGTACTTTTGAAGTTGCCGGCATTGACGTAAATTGGTACACAGACACACCAAACATCTTTTCGAGATGAAAGAAATCATGGCGAGGCGCAGGACTCACTGTACATAGCTAGCGACGATTTTTCCGCATCGAAACCGACTCGCTTTCCTCCTCCAGAAACTTACTAGGTGACTATGGCTGACGGCAGATTCGGGGGACGCAAATGTATTTTTTGCCGTGCGGCCCGTGCCCCAGCTTGCAACCTTGCTTCACATGGTTGAGGACACCCGGTAACCAATAAGGCAAGTTATTTCCATGCAAGACATGACTTGGGCATTTACTACAGAACTAAGTACTGCTAAAGTTTTAGTGTGCGTTCAGGGATTGCAATGATTATCAGCGCTAAGTACGAAGTACTAATCATTGCACCGGTCATCAGTTGACCACTCCATTGATACCATCACCACTCCTTCCTCATTTTCAGGGCTTTCCAGCATCTTCAAGCTTCAAGTTCAATTGGGCATCCAACATCGCAGCCTTCATGAAATGCCCCTGGCGTAGCACATCTCCACGTGCATTTTCACCACAATATGTGGCTGCCATCCTCTTCAGACGGTTGTGTCCATCATGATGCGTTGCTATGGGATGGCGCTCGTGTCAGCCTGCTGGGTCTCATATCACGAAGCCAGCTTCACGATTGCCCCCCTTTGATATGCACGGCCGCCGTTCGAGCATTACATTTGGCTTCAGTGGGATTGGAGGCTTCGCCGTGGCGAGCATGGCAACTGCTACTGCCAAGGACATCTTTGGCTCCGAAGGCGCCGACAAGGGATCCAACGGTTGACTGAAGATTCTGGCCTGACTTCGGGCGACCGTCAGAGAATTCACTAAATGTTCAACTGCATCTATTTCCTTTTGCAGTTATTTTTATTTTTTCCTTGCCTTTGCCCTTGTATCTCATCTGGGATGGGAACTGGATGGGAAATCCGACAGTACAGGCAGCCTTCTGGTCTTGGCTAGTGATGACGCAGTTGGCACCATGAGGTAGAGGTGCGCGCTCGAGTCGTGCCAGTGATTGTACCTCTTAATTCGCCAGCGAAGGAAGTCTTCGTGCTGGTGGAAGATACACTTCTTGCGTTGTTTTTTCGCGAAGCAATGCTGAGCGACGCAGCGGAGTTTCTCCTACTATGGCTCATCCTGCTTGTTGTCAATGCACCTGCAAGGTTCTATGAATATGTCTTTGTGCAATGCCAGGGGCTCCCGGACAAAGAACAAAGTCAGACGACCTCGTTCCTCTCTTTCAAGGGGAAACCAAGTCGTTAACCTGGTGCATCTCTGCCCTACTATTGAACTTGTTTGCATTGGGGAGACTTCCTGCCGAAGAGCACATTTATTAGGAGAACAAGGAGGGTTGTCTCCCTTGTACGATGCTCATGTGGGAGTGGGTAAATTTAATTCTCTCTGACTAGGGTTACTGACGGTGACCTTGCCCTTTGATCTATATACCATTGAATCACCTTTTTGTACGTGTTCCAAACCGACGCTGTTGGTGTCGTCATGTGGTGTTCGTGTAGTTCATTGACATATGTACTCGGCACATTTCAAGGAGGAACCATCTTCTTTGTCTGTAGTATACGACATGCACATAAAATCCGATGTCCTGATGTCGATGCTCACCGTCTGCAGAGCTCGTAGCAGCATAAGTAATATGCCACCAGATGCCTTATATTCCTAGTGGCTCCCGTATCTCCAACTTACGAAGATGGTGGATCTGTAAAATAGGCTGTATGATCAAGGGTGAACTGTTAGAAGACGGCGATATTTCAAAGCCATGCTCTGAAGGCAAGGACATAAGACGAAAAGGTCGAGAGAAAGGCGGGGGAATTTGAAGAAATCCGCACGTTCAAAAGACAATAGGGAGGGACATGAAATACATGCGCAAGAAATCTGCAGCGCTGTGGGTATTTTTAGCATCCCATGTCAATCGACGGAGTACGGGAAACAAGGACACGGGTGCTGGAGAACAAGACGGTATTATCAAATGGCAGAGGAGCCCGACAAACGTTGGGTTGTCAGATTGTGTGATAGAGTACACACATCTGGCAAAACTGTCCCAACTCCCAAGAGGGTCCTGGAATGCCTTGCGCGCGTGAACTTTGAAGCTCACGATCATATGAAACTGATGTGTCCCAAACATTCACGATGCAAGTGCTGATCTGGCACGGCATGTGGATGCAAATACAGGAAAGAATTCATGTTCGGCGTGTGAGCTATCACTTCGAGAATTCGCACTAAGGCCGGATTAATAACTTGGCAAGCTTTGGATATGAAAGTACTAGATAAACCTGCAAGAACTATATTTTTATTGCCAGTTTTTATGGAAAGAGTTAACACTTATCAGCACTTCGAGGCGACATGCTACTGTCCTTCTGGATCCTCGGGAGCCCTCGCACCTCGATCAACCATTCTATAGACGCCGTCGCCACCCGCCGGCACTCGGGGGTTTCCAGCGTCTTCAACTGGCTATCCATCATCGTAGCCATCATGCGATGCCCCTGGCATTTCATCATTCGGCCCGTGGGCACCTCCCGCGAGCCTTTCATCGTCGGAAGCTTTCCCCAGTGCTGCGATGCATTTGCTTCCAATATAATTCCAGCTCTTAACATTGAGTGGTAACTCCCCTTCAACGCCGAACACACGATAATGATCCTCGGCTTCTAATCTTCATCCCTCACAGGGCTCGGCTGCTCACTACGCCCGATCATGCCGCGCTCGTCCAGCGTCTTCTCCGTCTCCGACATGTCATCTAGCTCCGCATGCGACTGCTGACAGCTGTCTTGTGTTACTGACCTACTGACAGCTGCCAAGGCTGGTGGTCTGCGTCCAAGAGGTTCTCCACGCGACATCGGACCGCGGATGGAAATTATCGCCATTGATGAAGGGGGATGAAGAGCCCTTTGAAAAGCGTGGTGCCGAGAGTAGAATTGCAATTGCCTGTACCGAATACGCTCTGATGTCAATAGTGGGCATGTATTACAGATTGATGCCCTAGTACTGGAAATTGCAATTAGTCGCCAAGGAAGTAGACATAACACGGTTCATATGTCTCGATTAGCAATAGCTGTATGCATGTTTATCACCTCCGTCCTCGGTGTATGTCGGCGCCTCGGAGCACACGTAGATGGTCGGACGATCATCAGGAGGAGACAGGATGAATCAAGATGGTATCGCCGCCAGATGCGACTGAACCAGTGGCCGAAGGTCGGTGTAGTTGCGCGTACAGATGATATGCTTTACACATTTGTTGGTTGACCGGATGCCTGCAAGAAAGGAAATTCCACGACTTGAGGACCTGATGGGTGACGATGACCGGTAAGCGGCGAGGATAAGTACTATATGTAGTATGAAGTGTTCAAGTTTGGTGCTGCCTCGGAGCGAGAATCCTCAATCAACAATCAAGGAAACGAGATCAGCGCGACACTGGGTTGGAGGCTTTACGGACCGTATATCCACCACGCGAGTCAAATAATTCATATAGTGCATATATATATGTCTGATATCCATCAAAAAAGATCAGCGATATTCTTGATGCATGGACATACCACTGACTTAGACTTGCTGTACGGCGCAAGGATACCGCGGTCCGTGCGCGTGAACGATCGACTGTCCATGTCAATTGTGATGACATGCACTGCGTTAGTCGTCGTCACTAGCCTTGACTACATACTAGCAGGATACAGCAACTTTTGTTTTTGTACTCTAAGCGACCATGGGAGAACATCACAGGGACGAAAACAAGACCGAACTTGGAGAGCGCGGGGCTGTAGCTGTTAATTGTAAAACGTTACTATGCACAACACACGTTGCCGCACAGGTCACGGGTATCCGAGTGTATGTATACTAGTTAAGGCTAGTGTTCCTTGAGAAACCTTCTATAACATTCGGACTTGACCCGCCGTCTAGATCCACGCATCCGTCCGAGTCCCTGCAGGGGCATGATGATGACTGATCCGCAGTTGTAGGTATTCATAGGCGAGGCACATGTTGGTCACTAGACTCTGCTGAGTCGTCGCGAATGTCTCTCAATCGAATCGGTTCGACTTGTTGCTTCGAATGTCCGATGGGGTCGTGGTTAATGGTATTCCACCGAAGTATTCGATGACTAGACGACTTCGAATTTCGTCACGTCTCCCCGCGTTCAGCGCGGGTTTGAGCTTAGTAAGGGCCTTTGGAGTCGATAGTATACATAATTCCCCGGGCCCGGGGATTTGGCTACGTCCCTGGCTGCGATCCACTGGTATGGTAATCGTAAGCTGTAATGGGTTTCATAGGCAAGGCACATGTACGTCTTGTATCCTTTGGGTGACTCGAGTGGGACACCGTACGTGCAAGCTCGTGGTCTGAGTCATATACAACGCAGTCATCAGCTCCCTGGCCCCCATAATTAGTCACCGATAACTATAGCCCTCCGTTTGAAGAACAGTCACACGGTAGCTACCGGTCTGAATGAAATCACCACATGATCCACAATGTCATCCATGGTTTGCCAAGATACAAATCCATTGTAAAAACACCACATCGACAGCGTGTCTGCCTGTATGTATGCATCGGAATATATGTATGTAAGAGCGAGGTGAATGTTGATATCAGCGTGTGGTGGTACGTTATGGCACGATCAATCAATCAGTTGAATGAGGATATCAGGTACATGGTCAGTTGGAGAAAGAATGACTGCTTGGCTGGCGAAATTAAAGAACAAAGATGATCGTAAAAATAACAACAACAATGATTTGATAGAAGGAAAAAAAATATAGCAAGTTTGGAATTAAATGCAAAGATATACTCCTGAAGGAATTGATGAGAATTTCGTCGCAGACAACTATCATTATTGGCGTCACGTATGATATATCCATAAACAGGAAAAGAATGACAGGGGTGTTTAATTGGGATGGGGGAGTGCGCGGGAGTGTGGGGGCGTCGAGAAGTCGATGGCGTTGTACGCTGGTGGTGGAGCTTCTTCTAGCTCCGCGTGCTCCTCGACCGCGCGTCGGTGATGGTGCGCTCGCGTGACATTACGCACCCACCCTAGCACCTCATCAGCATCCTTCTCCGGACGAGTCCTACCCCGCGGTTGCTGTGCAGTTGATGGCCGCGTGGGCATCGTCGCTGATATCGGCGTTGAGACGACATTGGACGAGTGGGTGTACCGATGCCCCGTGGAAGATAAGCGAGGTATCGAGGCAGGCGTCGGGGGAAGCGTACGAGCCAGTGTGGGAAGGCGTTTGGGTCGAGCAGGAGGTGAGCTAGTAGGGGACACGGGGTTTGAGGGGACGGTGGGTAGTCGGCGCCGAACGACAGATCCCGAAGAAAGAGCACGGCAGCGAGACGGAGGCGTACCACCCACACTATCCATATCACTGTCTAGCACTGTCGGTGGGATGAGCACTCCGTCTTCCGTGACTGATGGTGTGTGCCTGCTTGTTGTTGGGATACATGATAATCGGGGTGACGATCTCGATCGGTGAAGCCACGGCTGTGATCCAGGAGGGGGGTGCCATGAAGATGGCGGCGCAGGAAGTTCTCGCCGTGTACCCGCACGTGGCGAGGGGGAAGGCTGCGATGACAGTGGGATATAATCAGATACTGGGGTGGGTGATATTGGTGCAGGGGAAAAGCTAAGGGGAGTTGAATAACGGCTGTTGGTATTGATCCTTGGAGCGGCTCTTTCTGAGTCATCGCAAAATGTGGATGTATGGAATTCACTGGATGGTGCTGAACAAGGGGTTGCGGGATAGCAGACGGACTCGGAGGAGATGCTTTCAGAGTCCCATGCTGTACCCGAGCGTGGAGGCAAGTCGCTACCGTCTGCACTATGAGGTCGTAATGATGGGTATAACGGTTCGCCATATACAATTTTGCGCCATTGATTTACAGATGTAGGTGGGGGCGCTGTGCCGGAGATATCAAGTACATCTGCATCCTCATTACAGCGGGTATCTATTGCAGGGGTCTTGAGGGAAGGATATAGAGGTTCGCCATACATGATTTTACGCCACTGACGTGCAGATGCAGGAGCAGATGTGGATTTAGGAAGGGATTCGGATTCTGTTGCTGGGGTATCGAGTGAATTTGGGTTGTGCCTTACAGTCATCCAATCGTCAGGCTCTGTAACGAGTAGTAGAGCGGTGACAAAGAGGTTATCGAGTAGGGAAAGGGATATTCCAGCGTGTTCTACTTGAGGAACTGATTGATGGACAGGACCAAGGGTTTCGAAAACTTTAAGTCTTGGATTGTTTTGGTCGTCTTGTATATCGAGGGATGCGATTAGTCGCTTGGATGATGAAGATGTGCACTTATGAGAAAGTGTGAGCGTAAGCGGAAATAGATGACAAAAAGGAATGTTACCTGATAAGTGCGACCAGTTCGCTTCCACTTTAACGTATGGGGATGGTTTGGTAAGGTGAACTTGCGTGAGCTGGTGAAACAAAAAAAATGAATAATGAAGGATTTATAACATATGGAGAAGGGTCGTACTTTCCAAGGTTGCCATACTTGAGGTAGTTGTCAGTGTCTCTCCAACGAGGTTCACTCATCTGTATGATTGCACCGTGGGTATCCCTTCCTTTGCCTTTGAGAGGAAGATCCTTGGGCCAACAAATGTCTGCGATTTTTACAGAAGCGTCCCATGGATCTGAACGCCATATAGTAGTTGAAGAGCCGACTGTTTCGACTGAGTAAAAAGGAGTTTCCGCTACGAGGTCTGTAGCGACGGAATCTAGAAAAGAAGGAGAAGACAACTTGAGTACGAGAAGGGGTCTCTGTTGTCGGCGAGAAGCCATGTCGTCGCGAATTTCCAGGCGATGTAGGTAAGGGAATATAGCAGATGGATTTGAAGTAGAGGGACCTGGGGTTGGTGATGAAGGAGAGGTGGATTTGGATGTGGGTGGAAGAGAGAGTCGTTGAACAGGTGGAGGAACGAAGGGGGAGAAAGTCGGTTTGTCAGAATCACCGATGGAGAGGGACATAAGCGCCCGATGCATGGCAATGAGAGTGGGTAGTATGAATTTGGGATGAGTGACACTATAAGGGACTACAGCTTACACCTTCAATCTCAGCGGCCCGTTGAGATCATCCACGTAAGTTAATCAGTTGTCCGGGTGATGACCGAGCGCTCTTTACAAACTCCGTCGCGTCAACATATCCCAACGCGCTCTTTTCACACACAATCCTTATTATTATTCCCATCATGTCTACCGAACCCAGGTAAGTTCTAATGTACCATTTCAGTCCAAATTTCGAATATTCCTCTTAGATCTCCAGTAAAAAAAGACGCGACGAGCCCCATAAAGTCTCCCGACTCAAAGGGAAAGGGCAAAACAAAGGCTCCTGCTGAGGACGTGTCAATGGAGGAGGAGGAGGAAGAGGAAGAAGAAGACGAGGAAGAAGGTGACGAGGATATGGAAGAGGTACGACTTGCTTTCTTTCATATTTATTCATCACGCTCACCGACACAGGAGGAAGAGGAAGATGATCACGAGGAAATCGACCCCGGTGCAATCCTTCCTCGTCGCACCCGTGGCACACGCGTCGATTATACATCCGAGGAAGCCCTCAAAAAGGCAGGCCTCACAAAGGATGACCACGATGACGACGACGACGAAGGCATGGAACATTAAGTGTCTCACGCCCCCCAATTACTTTAATATTGTTATCGCTCTCCTATAGTCTTTGGTCAATTATTTTGCAAGGCGTGTGTGTAACATCGCCAGCTGCCAGAGGTACCCTGACCTCGTTTCATCTTGAAATTAAATAAAAATTCACCCTGCTTGGCACTTTGTTCGCATGTTCGAATCTGTATGTCCTCGCACGTTGCTTTACTCCAGTCACGCGCCATCGTGCCGGGCTCATGGCGGCCTCCAAGTACTCAAGTATTTTGCATGATTTGAATGTGGGCCTGAAACCCCCAAAAAATACTAGTATTTGCAGGACTGCTCGGCGCAGAGGCTCCCACAAAGTCAACCAAATATCTGGATTACAACGTGTTCATGCTACGCGACGCCGCCGATATCTAAGTCGGGGCACCCCAATGAATTCTCACTCGGCTTTTCTGACGAAACATGAGCCGATGTTCTAATTTATGTGCATCCTTGTCTAGACCCTCCGCAATACGCGGTCCTTTACGAGCGCACTCCGCATGCCTTCCCTTGTTCCGACTCAGTCGATCGAACCTCAGCAAAGCCTAATTCTTTTCGGGGTTAAATCCTCCTCGAACTCCCCGTCGGGGACCTCTAGCTTGGCAGCCGGCCAAGCCTCCTGGGAGGTCCTGAACTTTTGTAGCTGGGCCTTGATCCCTTAATATAGACCTCAAGCCCGACTTCTATTCTTGTAAGGCGTGCGTCCGTATCTCATATCTATGAAAGGGTCTCAACAACTAGCAAAGCTGCCTCACCTGGCGCGTCCCTGTCTACTATCGTTTTGTGCCTCGCACCGAATGGGTGTGCTTCAGCGATATTTATCTAACTCATAAACTCAGGTACGACCAGCTAGCCACCATTGTGAGGGGCTGACTGCGAGGGTAGGTGAAGTTATTGTTAGAACCGAGTGCCAATTTTAATGGATCATCAAGTCCACACTTCCCCTCACACTCAGCTTCGAGCAGTGGTGGGAAGGAGCCTGTCAGCTAGCTATCTATACGTATGTGTGAAATTTAGATTACAGCGTATGCATGACTACAAGCAAGCTGGCACTGCAAATACAAACAAACCATTACTGTGTCTGCTGCGTCTCTACTTCACCTCTACAAGCGCTAACACTATATATATACTACAGGTTGCGTAGTAGCAACTCGAACACAGTGTATCGGGAGTTGTAAATTCTCGACCGAAGCCCAACCGAAACACCAGTAGTCAACGTACTCCACAATCATAATGGATCACGGCGCACACCATATGGCTGCTGAGCCTGCAAGGTGCAAGATGTGGATGCTCTGGTACGTCCTCACCGCCACCCACCCACAAGTACTTACCTGTCCTCAGGAATACCCAAATAATCGATACATGCGTCGTATTTTCCCAATGGCATATCCGCTCTAACCTCCAATTCTTCTTCTCCTTCCTCGCCATCGTAGCACTGGGCATGCTCTACGAGTACCTCCGCGTCTTCTCGAGGGACTTTGACAAGCGCATTGGTGTGAAATTGAGGATCCGGAACGGGCGTAGGACGCCGCCTACTGCGAGTGGAAGGAGCTCGCCTGAACGTCATGGTGATGACGCCGAGGAGACGGGCTTGTTGAATGGGTCGAGGGTCACGAGGAAGCAGGGGTGAGTGCTTCTATAACACGTGCTTTTACTCTGATCGTGCTGACTTTGCCTTTATAGATTGACTATTCCGCCTCTCTATCGTGCCATGCGCGCTGTGCTGTATGGGGCCAGCGTTGGCTTGTCTTTCTTTTTGATGCTTGTATTCATGACGTATAATGTATGTCTGATGGCTTGTTTTTCGGATACCGACTGACTCGTTTGCGTATAGGCCTACCTGATTTTTGCAGTTATCCTTGGTGCTGGGGCAGGACACTACATCTTGAGCGACACTATTGAGCCAAACGGCCCTGCTGACAAGGGGATGGCATGTCATTGATCTATGTACATGGGGAAAGCTACTATCAACATAACTATTACTCCTGCTTACGTGGCTTCGATTAGTCTCCATGTCTTCCTTCCATCAAGGACCAGGTCTGACTAGGGGAGACTAACGTAGATGAATGAGGATACGGGTTTCTTCTACGTTTCAATATACCTCGCACACTCCAAAGGTGGAAGAATTGCTGTACACGAATATAGCTATGCATATGATCTATCATTTCATCCACTGTAACCTCATCCTGCTTCGCAAGCACTCTGGGTGGAAGAAAAGATGGATGATCGGGGCGAACAATGGCGCACAGAGTTACCAAAGCGAGAATATCCAATGCACAGGGATTGTACTGAGGTCAATGAGCAAAACGATGGACTAGCACGACTCTTGGAAGCGTAAGCTCCTTATTCCATCTGACCCAGATACAAGAGCTCAAACACACCCGCGAGCTGTTAAGACCATCAGCGTGTCTGTATCTTGCTCACAACGGAAGCTGACGATCATTCCTCACACTTTCCGAGCCCATGTTACGGCGTCGGTGAAGCATTGTTAGGTCTCCGTCAAGTTTGTGGTCATAGTACTTGTTACGAGATGGCCCGGGCTGAGTTTCGACAAGTGGCTGGTATCTTTCGTCCGCTTCATCTCCCTTTTCATTTGCTCGTCAAAATGATCTTCATTAAAAGATTCCCGGCAACATCCTCGAGGACCGCAGCATTTGGCACTACCATGTCAAACGCATTAGTTCAAGTAACGAGTCAACAAACTCATGTTGCACCAATTTCTTTGAACCAGTACGTACAATGCCTACATATGTAAGCATTTTGATAAGTTAGTCATTAATGGATTCAAATCAATGGAACACATTTTGGCGTACAGCAGGCTCCGCACATAGACCCCAAACGTTTCCATGGCACTTGCCATAACCGATAAATGAAAAGCAACGGACAAAGCGCTGCAAGATATATATGTAGATAGAATTAGTCCCCGAGTATACGTATATATATTACAAGGATACCTTCAGTCGGCTCTTCGATGATATGATTACGATATCACCGTAACAACTCAGGAAATACAATATTAGCACGATCTTGTCCTTGAATAGACACAACGGACATGTCTCTTCGCGTTCTCACCCTCGATAATGCTGTGTACAATTGATTTGAGTGAAGGGATCCGTTCGAAGGTTAGCACGGTTCGTGCTAGCGTCAAACCTTGGTGGCCATTACATAAATGTAGTTGCATACGCGGGCGCAGAGGATTGTCTTTCGAACGGATTGGATGGAATGCAGCTGCGGCTTTCAAATGAGTCGATGGGTTGGACTTCGACGAGCTGACGATGCAGCGCAATCGCGCGCGCGCGTTTCCCTTTTCTGCTGAGAGGTGTTATAAATGCAGTTCTGTTTGAGATCCAGGCGATGAGGAGGTACTCCAGGATTGGATAATATTGCGAGGTAGTCGGTGGTGTGTTCTTCTAGCCCGCATGTAGCAAGGAAGGATGTAGACTAGATGATAGCTTATTAACGCCAAAACAAATGAATTGGGGAAAATATAAATATATTAACGCACCTCCAAATTGTGCATCCGTCCTTCACATCGTATAATTTCGGTGCAAGAAGCTCAACTAGTAGTGTATCATGATTGGCAATCATGTCTAGACCCAACATTAGCACAAAGTGCTGCCGAGAGTGCGAATTTAGACCGTCGGCAGGAACATAACAAATATTCGAAGAATTCATTTATCACCGGATGTATCCTATGGCATGGTCAGAAAAGGAGTGCGGACTCGGATGCGAAGGCAAATAGTACTTACCTCCTCCTTGTTCCGCTTCCTGCCACTGGGCAAAACCATCCTGCTCTTTTTCTCGACCTCTGACAGCTAAGTCCATGTTATATCCACAGGACGTTGGGAATGAGAAGAGGTAGCGGATCCTTCTTTCTCGTGGGATTAATGAGTCTCAGATGATCGATAAGCCACTGGTAGAGCCTGCCGCAGAGAGGCGCTCGATTATAGTAGCAGCTGCGAGGCTAGCGGAAACCTTCCTTAGTCCAGACTGCATTGGTCGGAGAATGGTTTCGTTGAACTTTAAAGTACGGTAACATATTTTGATTTGTTTACACCCCGTACATATTTGGATAGTATTGGTGGAAGCTACATCAGATGTTATGTTGACTCCCGCCTGTCAGGCCGCTAAAACCCTTCCACAGGTAACACAATAAATACACACAGCCCGGCGAAATGCTCATTGCCCTCTGCAGGATACCGACTCCTCCGAGAGTCTCCCTGTCCCAAATGGATGGATCGTCCCGCAACGTACTAGGAATGTGGAACAGATGCTCAAAGAATACACTGGTTTGAAAGGGACCCTTGTGCTCAGCGAAGAAAGTGGCACAAGCAAGGTACATTTTTTCGTCGGGCAAGGACTACTACGTTTGGAACTGTTCGTGCGAGGATGGATGGCGCCTTCTCGATATCAATAGTCGCGAGGAATTGTATGGCCATCTTGCAAAGGGCAAAGGGCTCAAAGGACTGAAGGTTGAATTATTGCCGGATTTTGGTGATCTCGAAGGATGAACGTTCTTGCGGCTCACATGTTTCAATGTAGAGTTTTCCCTTTGGGCCCAAATGTTTCGTGACTTTCTGTAATACATCGCTGTTGAATAATTGTACCGAATCTCTTACAATCCAAAGAAATTAACAATGGATCACGGCGCACATAATATGGCTGCAAGGTGCTCAATGCACATGCTCTGGTACATCCCACTCAACCCAATCCAACCCAGCCCATCCATACTTACCCAATCCCTAGGAATACCCAAATCATCGACACATGCGTCGTATTTTCCCAATGGCACATCCGCTCTAACCTCCAATTCTTCTTCTCCTTCCTTGCCATCGTAGCACTGGGCATGCTCTACGAGTACCTCCGCGTCTTCTCGAGGGACTTTGATAAACGCATTGCTGTAAAAGTGAGGATCCAGAACGCGCGTAGGACGCCGCTTACTGCGAGTGGACGGAGCTCGTCTAAACGTCATGATGATGACACCAAGAAGACGGGCTTGTTGAATGGGTCGAGGGTCACGAAGAAGCAGGGGTGAGTGTTTCTACTACGCGTGTTTTTACTTCGATCGCGCTGACTTGCTTTGCTTTGCCTTTATAGATTCGCTGTTCCCCCTCTCTATCGTGCCATGCGCGCTGTGCTGTATGGAGCCAGCGTTGGCTTGTCTTTCTTTTTGATGCTTGTGTTTATGACGTATAATGTATGTCTAACTACTTGTTTTTCGGACACTGACTGATTTGTGTGCGTATAGGCATACCTGATTTTTGCAGTTATCCTTGGTGCCGGGGCAGGACACTACATCTTGGGTGACACTATTGAGTCAAACGGTCTTGCTGACAAGGGGATGACATGTCATTGATATGTGTACATGGGGAAAGCTGCTATCAATATGGATGTATATCCCTTCTGCTTACATCGCTTCGATTAGTCTCCATGGCTCTATCAAAGACTAGGTCTGATATAGACAGACCATTAATCAGAATGCCGGTTTCTTCTACGCTTCATAATTAATCACTCCAAAGGTTGAAGAAATTGTTGTACACGAATACAGCTATGAGTATGATCAATTACTTCATCTCTGTATCCTCATCCTTCTTCGCAAGCCCTTCCGCCCGAAGCAGAGCATCAATTTCTGCAGGTTTGTAAATCTTAGCTTTTGGTGCTTTTGCTACTTGGTCGTATGTGAGGACTGCAAATTCGACTGTCGAGTACAGATCAGCGCCATGTTTGGGGAAGAAAGTAGGATGGGCCTACGCTTCTCGCTTCCAAGAGTTGTGCTGTCCATCGTCTTGCTCATTACCCTCAGTACAAGCCCGATAGCCTCCTCGACGCCCAAGTCATCTTTGTATTCTTGTTTGAGTAAACTCTGTGCCGTGCCATTGTTCGCCCCGATGCATGTTGCTTTCCACCCAGAGTAGTTGCCAGATGGGTCAGAATGGTACAATTGGAAATGGTAATGTGGGTCATAGCCTGCATATAACAGGGAGACGCCGAAAGGACGCAGACCTAGACAATATCTCGTTTAAGTCAAAACAAACAAATTAGGGAATAGATTAACGGACCTCCGAATTGCGTATATCCTTGTTTCATATCGCACAATCGCTGTGCAAGAAGCTCAACTGGTATATCATCGTTATACTGCAAAAGATGTTGTTGTGCCACAGTCCGCGCGTAGTTCACTAGCGAATTCGCATCGGACGTGATGCCTGCAACGCCTCCGATTACATTTCTGCAAATTCCAGAAATCAAGAGGCTTCCTAGGTACTTGTTGGGGGTAGTGCTTACGAGTTTAATAGGAACATCTTCTCTCCACTACCGCCGTAGCCCCCACCTTCCTTTGCGCTGGAAAGATCGAGGAGCTTCCCTGTCACACGTTTCTCAGCGGCCAGAACAACACCGTCCTTTGCGAGTACACCGAGGACTGTTCCTGCGTGTGAAATGGCTTCCATGGCATATTCGACTGAAATGATAGGGTTAGGTCGTGAGCCATCTGCAATTCTCTGATGAGCGTACTTTGGTAAAGCCGGCCTGTGCATGATAAACGAGTCAGATCAGGGCATTTAATTGATAATGCTAATTAAGCACCTTCCGGAGAGAATATTGTTGTTCGACCTGTAAATCAATGGTCATTATATGGACTCAGTAGGGTGGTGCTGCTAGGATACGTACTATCATATCTTCGGGCCTGCACGAGTGATTCATGTGAGTATTTGTATGTCAATGCAATTTATAAAATGTGCATACCATGGTTGATGAATCGGGAGACGAGGAGGGAGGAGCGTACTTGTAAGATGGAACTTGTCACTGACGCGTTCCCTCAGATTGAGTTGGCATACGCGTCAGGTTAAGCGGGGGGTCGCCGGCATTTGCCTATTAACTCAGACTCAACCCCTCTAATAAGGTCCTCGCTCTCGTTTGCTTAGTGCTACTACTCTTCGAACATTTTCTTTCGTTACTGCGGATGTGTACATCCTTTACATGAATGAATTTTAAGATGATGGTATGTAGAAAGCGCTCCGAGGAAACCAGCTGCAGTACTCTGCTCCGAGGAACGAATACCAACGTTTGGCACTAGAATTGGAAGGCCTCCCCGAAACTATCTGTTATTAAGAAGACATGACTGTCAGCTGAGTCTTCCGTCTATGTATATATGGTCTGACTGCGGAAGGCTACGATTCCGCGCACCTCCATACATTTTGAATGCCAAATGAAAGAAAAATACTAGCGTACTGCTTCCGATTCGGCGACTTCCCCATGGTTCTACTCACGTCTGTGGCATCATGTGGTACACCCTTGGCCGCATCTCCACTTCCTCGTCGGCCATCGCCATCAATCATATTCTAGCTTTGTGATTGAATCCGAGGTACTACATCCGTCGCATTAACGTTGTGACTCGCCATGTCTCTTCCTAGCGTGCACTCCGAGGCGCCAACATATCCCGAGGACAGAGGGGCAAAACACCCGGCTGTCAACGTTAACCTTGATACCTCGGTGGAAAACATGCCTCTTGTTGATGGAAACATGAGCGATGCGGTATTCTTGGTGGTGATGGTACGTCTATTTCTCACTTGCATTTCCAAGCACTAGTATCACTCAAAGCATGCTCACTGAGCTCTCAGGGCGTATCTGGCACAGGCAAATCTACTCTCGGCGCTGCGCTATCAAAGGCTCTCCGTCTCCCATTTATCGACGGCGATGACCTCCATCCGCAATCTAATGTAGACAAGATGTCACATGGAGAACCTCTCACAGACACAGATCGCCAGCCCTGGCTGGAAACTATCCGCAGAACGGCCGTTAGTAGCGTTCTGAATCAGCTTGGGAATCACCACAAATCACATGCGGAGCCAAATGCGATGGCCGAGACTGAGACGACGCTTGACAACTGCAGCATGCTCGGGCGTAATGAGCAGCTGAGTTCTAGTATGAGGGATAAAGACCAGAAGCCGGGTATTGTCATCGCGTGCTCAGCGCTGAAAGGGAGTTACCGGTCGGTGCTAAGGAGCGAAACTCTGTCGGAAGCTGAGGCATCAAAGCATTTAGGAAAGCTTCCGACATGCTTTGTTTATATGAAAGGCTCACGGGAGATGCTTATGAACCGAATGATGAAACGCCAGGGACATTTCATGAAGGCTGCGATGTTGGATAGCCAGTTGAAGACGCTGGAAAGCCCTGAGAATGAGGAGGGTGTGGTAACGGTGTCGATAGAGTGGTCGACTGAGGACCAAGTGCAAGAGGTGGTCAGGGCTTTTGAGGATGGAGAAGGACACCAGCATGTGGCCCAATCGAAGCATTGATAAGTGTTTTGTTACATAAAAACTCGCAATAAAGTATAGTTCTTGCAGACTTTCTTCCGAAATGGCTAGGTCAAGCTTCCTTCTTGAGAGGTCTGACTATTACTTGAAGTAGTGGGAGACAGGGTTATTTCTTCGTCCGGGGACAAAGATCATGCAACTTTGCATGTCTCCTTCAACTTGAGGCCATCATCATATCCAAATTATTGGCCATGCATCCGGCTTTACGAAATCTCGAAGTGATAGACATCATTATCTCTCACAGATCACGGAACCCTTCCTGCACTTGCCTCCACATGCCGCATATTTGACCCAGCACTTGACGTTCTTTGGAGGAATTTGTCTTCCGTGGAGGCCCTCACCAGATGTATGCCAGGTGACCTGTTTACCGTTGAGCAAGGATGCATGGTCAGTATTCAGTGTCTCGTAACTCCAGAGTGTTAATACTGAATTCACTTATGCAGGTACTACAGAAACCTCCTGACGACAAGATGTGGGACACTCTTTGCAAATACACGTCCCGCGTACGCTCGATCAGACAAATATATCACACATCTATCGAAGCTCTTGGGTCGATACTGTTGTCTTGTCCTTTGGCACCCACATCTTTGTTTCCCAACCTCCGTGAGCTAACATGGCACGCCAATGGAACTCGCGGCGCAGCAGATTTCTTGCGCATGGCTCTTGTGCCTACCCTACTGATCCTGGATGTGACGGTTTCTTCAGTTTCAACTTCCCATGCATTTCTCTCGGTCCTTTCGTCTCTTGGGACCTCGTGTCCTCACCTCCAGAGCTTGTACATGAATCGCGAGCCTTCAACCGACCATTCATATTGCAAAATTACACCCTTCGTTATAAAACCTTTTTCCACACTCCATCATCTTCGCACATTGTGGGCATGGGACATAGGGGACCAAGGTATCCGACACATTATGCAGCTACGAGCTCTGCGGTCACTGTCACTGGATTTGAACTCAAGGCTAATTGGGGGGAAAGGATTGTATCTGCAACTCCCCGGTTTTCATAATTTGGATTATCTGAGCCTTCGTATCAACACGTTGGAGGATGCTTCGAAGTTCTTCGTTTCACTCGAGGTTGTCAGAACCAGGGACATAAAAATCTTCTTTAGCCCTCGGTCTCCCCCGCCTACATCCGCAATGCTATCTCAGTTTCTCAGCATCCTCCAAGAACGATGCGACAACGATAAGCTTGAATGCCTCTTTCTCTTCGGATATTCGAAGGCTGTGCTCACAGAACCAGGCGTCTTCACACCACTGCACGCATTTTGCAATCTGACTCAACTGGACATCCAGGGGAGCTCTAGCATTTCGATGTCTGACTAGCAGCTATGCCAGCTGGTGAGAGACTGGCCTAGGCTACAAGTCCTCAAAATCAGCAGCTGGATCGCTATCGATGTCGCTACGGTACTACCCACATTCCACGGGCTAATAGGGTTGCTTCAGCTCTGCCCCGCTCTGACTTCGCTCGCTCTTGTCATCGATACCACCAAGTTGGATGGCATAGATCTCAGAAGCCCCAGTGGTAGACGCTTTAATACGCTCAACCGCCTCACGCTCGGCATTTCGCCCATTGATTGCCCAGTAAACGTAGCCCTCATCCTCAGCGGCCTTTTCCCTCACCTTGAGCAGGTCAATATCGATTGTTGGAATAAATACCAGATGTATGTGATACCGCAGAGGACACTAGCAATGAAGCAATGGGCGTCAGTCAATAGCATCCTCCGTGGCTTCAGCGTTGTAAGGGAGCGGCGTATTGAAGCTTGATGAGGTTGTCTGGTTTGCAGGCTGTACCTTTGAACTATGTCATTGCACACTTACATACAGTACGCGTATTCATGTGTCGAAATTATCGTGCATATGATCTTTTGGCGCTCAATTCAGTCCTAGAACTAGGACATCTGGCCGATCTGCATTCTGAGAACGACTCGGAGACACCAGTGATCGTTCACTCCAACACCGCGGCAGGTTGCCCAACTTTCGGCACGAACCAAGGTGAAATGCTGTAAGATGCATATATACAACTATCAATACGTTGTGGATCATGATCATATGTATGGGTAGAGTGCATGGACACAGCTCGTTCCAACATCCCCCACTCCCGCTCAGTCTTCATAACCACAACTCACCCACCGTTGCGGCGGATACCCGATCAACTTTGTCATGAAATCAACATGTTGCTGCGTAAGACGCTTATCCGAAAGGAACCTAAATACGCAGCGACTCCACCTGAACGGCGTCGATTTGGATGGCGTGCAGCTTGTCGTCGTCGAGTTCATCGTCGTATTAGTAATCATCGTTCGATACACCGTGCCAGTGATTACTCCAGAGGGACCAAGCCGCCCTTGAGGGCGAAATAATATTTGTGGTCTAACAAGTAGATGCCCGACCAAGATGCAATGGCTCGGAGGTCATAGACTATATGTGGCGTGATAATTTGCAATGTCCTGACAGCCTACACATGTGGTTGCCGGTGTAGGGTGCAGAACTACTTGGGGTCCGGCTAGTTCTACCGGTACCGGTTATGTACAAACGGCAGAACTGTTGAAACTGGTTGGTTGTTTTGCCAGGTGGAAAACTTTAGGCTATATAGATTAGTACGATGTGGTGCCAGCCCCCGATGTCAAGCACTTACCATCTCAGAGATGGTTACGAGCCTAACTGCAAGTGCCACATCAGACTTCGTGCGAACTTCCGACCTCTTCAAGTTGCGAGCGAAGCTGTGAGTACCAAGTATTAAGTGCCAGAACAGCCTGAGAGGCGGACACATGCTGTAAGCAATGATAGTACGAGGGGGCGTCCTCCAGCGTGCACCATCTTAGGGGAGCTCGGAGCTGTCATAGGCTCCGTATTACTCCGAATCGTGCATCTCTCACCGATCCCTTTTCACCGAGAGGTTGTGTCGTATGGCACATATGCAACTTATTTTGAGATCCAGTTGGTGGAGAAGAATTCCGGGCGCAGTAAGCATCGCCAAGTAGTCTGGTGCTTGTTCTGGTGCATCAATATAAGGTGCGATCCTCGACGGAACCTATATTAGCTTCAAAGTTGAGAACGACGACGGCTAAGTCACCGACAGGGAAAGTAATGTATAATGTTTGCTCTCAGCCATGGAAGGTGCAGAGGTGCAAGTGGTAGCTATGTACGAGAGTGGAAACAAAGTGGAAGAGAATCTTGTGTATTTAGCCATGTTGTGTTTGATTTACCTACATATTTACGACATAGCATCTTCATTCAAACTCCCATCACTTTTGTGTGCGCTGAGCTGACGAGATACTTACTATAGTAGTAACTATACCAAGGGTCCGAGGGTCCGACGAAAACATACTAGTCATGGAAGCCAGCTGTCTTTCATCAAGACCACTATGTTTTCCCATCTTTCCCGGGGCCTGACGTTGAACCCAAGACACAAATTTTCGGTAGCGATTAACGATTTTTTTATTGGCCGACTACACTACTGACGAGCCAACTCAGACATTCAGGCAAGTCACATAACGACCCTTGGCGCCAGTCCTAGTAGTGTCGGCACAAGAAGGTTTTAATGAAAGCATGAAGACCTTTCTAAATCCTATGGAAAGTCATATGCTCGCTTCAGGCTTTATATGGTTTGATAACATCCGCGGCGTACAGTACAAAATACGGGAATATTGGTAGCCGATGTAAAGGTGTTTGCCTCTAGCCTAGGGAACCGATCTACTCGGGAATGGTAAAATATAAAGGAGCCAATACCATCTACTTCCAAATAATAAGGTCACCATATACACTTTCTACTCCACACTAGCCTCCCAGCCTGAAATTGCACAACTGAGGCATAATGGGCCAGCTCACCGTTTTCGGGTATCTTCGCGAGCAATGGACAGAACTTCCGATCCCCACTGCAGATGTCAGCGACCAATCGCTCATCGTAGTCGGTGCCAATGTCGGGCTCGGACACGAGGCTGCTGTGCATTTAGCACAGCTCAAACCTAAGAGCCTGTTGATTACTAGCAGAGACGAAGTCAAATGCGAAAAATCAAAAGCAGGTATGCATGAACCTTGACTCGGAAGGTTATCAGGGGACTTTATGACTTGTATAGACGTGGAGAGCCGGTCTGGCATGACTGGTATCGAATCCTGGCCTCTTGAGCTATGTTCATTCGATTCAGTGCGTTCTTTTGCGGACACTTTTGAAGCGAAGGGCTGCACAGCCAATGTTCTTATTGCTAATGCTGGCATATCGACGCTCAAGTACACAAGAACCCCGGATGGCTACGAAGCTACGTGAGTGCTTTGCTGACATCGCCGTTATTTCACCTCAAGAATTTCCATAGATTTCAAGTGAATTACCTGTCGACCGCTCTATTGAGCTTATTGATGCTGCCTCACCTCATCAAGGCAGGGACTCCTGAACGTGCCTCAAGACTGGTTATTGTATCTAGCGAGTTTCATTATCTGGCCAACAGACTAAAAGGGGCAGACACATGGCCTAGCATCATCGAAACAATCAACGATGAAGCATATTGTACCTCTAGGTAAGTCTCATTAACGTCTGTTCCTGGAGCACTAATAACATGCAGCAGCGTAATGTTAAACCGCTACTCCTTATCCAAGCGTGAGTAATAGAGTACATGCGTTATTGTGCTTACCACTCCGTTATGCGCAGTCCTCGAAGTGATGTTCATCCGTGAGCTGTCTTCTCGACTTCCCACACCAACCTTAGTTGCAGCTTCGACGGTCAATCCCGGTTCTTGCCACTCTTGTCTTACGCGAGAAGTCGAATCAAATCCACTCTTCAAGTTTGCCGTGAGAACCTACAAAGGGTTGGTGGCACGCGCAACTGAGATGGGCAGTCGAACACTTGTCCATGCGGCAATCGAGCCAAACGAGAGGGAACGGCATGGCCGCTACCTGTCTAGCTGCGAAGTTGCCGAAGAGAGTGATTATACTCTCAGCGCAGAAGGAAGGGAGGTTTCGAAGCGTTTGTGGGTACGTACCTGCTCATTTTTGACTACCATGGTGCTGACTGATATCTGGTTGAACAGCATGAGACCCTTGAGATCCTTGGAGACATCGACCCTAGAGTCAATACAATTGTGTCTGAGTACCTCGTTGAAAAAGCATGATTTGACTGTTATCCATTTATTCGTCCAAATATTGTGTTGTATTCTGATCAAGTGGATGTATGTGGAATTCATCCCTGCATGTGCGTACTCTACCTGAACTTCACATGTACTCCACTGCTCGCTGTCAGTGTGCGTCGGCAGTCTCCTGTTTCTGTGTAGCGCTTATCTCCGTGTATGTAATCCACCTTTTCCAATCTGTCTCCTAAACTCCACATATTTCTCTTTTAACTATACTTCTGTTCTTTCACCACCATGATACGCAATACAACGAAGCATGTCTATCGAAGACAGATTAGTACGAAATGCGCGAGTGCGTATCACCGCTCTTCATCGAACATTCGAAGGAATACATTGCCCGTCTCGCATCACCTTCTCTTTTTATCCCGAGCGTTCTAATTGGACTGTAATTCGGAAACAGTTTCCCTTCCGATCTGCTTACGCGACGACATGCAACGGATGTCGGCTGATGCTAGCGTTGTGGGAAGAACTGGCAGAATAACTGGGCTGCCACCAGCGGGCTGGATTGTGCTACAGAATGAGCCCCTTCAGTGAATTCACCCCATCTCAGACGGACAGCCAAGTGTGACAATGTACCGTTGGGAATGGGCCATCCCATGTGGGCCCATGGACATAATTGTACCATGATATACGAGTGGGCCGGGTGAATGTGTGTACCCAAGACACACGGATGGGCTGAGGGTAGTAGACCATCCCCATTCCCATGCATATTTTCAAAGGCCATTGGCATCCATCTTTAACCGAATCACCTCCTGTGGCTCCCGCAGACTCTTTTTTGAAATGTCCCTGCATACTCCTGCCTGACGACTACGACGCAGACGGCTTGTGGACACCTGGAGACGATCTCATCAAGGAGGCCAAACTCTACGAAATCCTACAGCAGCACCCTCACCCTAATATTTGTGTTTACTATGGATGCGTCCGTGACGGTGACCACATCATCACCATATGTTTGAAAAGTACACACGCAATCTCATGGAAGCAGTTTGGAAAAGTGATCCCACCCTGAACCCTGCTGCGATTCTTGATGGTATTTCAAAAGGGCTAACTTTTCTACATGAGACGCTTGGTCTTGTGCACAATGATATCAACCCCGCTAACATCATGCTTGATGATGCGGGAGTTCCTGTAATAATCGATTTCGACTCTTGCATACCAATTGGGGAGGAGATGGTGATGAATTGCAAGGGGGGAACAATTGACTGGCCAGTGGAGCCAATGCCGACAATTGCTCTTCCAGAAAATGATATATATGGCCTGACACAGATTGACGAATTCATGAAAGGAAGAATATCATAGATGTGAGTATCTTTGTCATTTTTGTGGTGTTATTCATGACCGTTTGCATTATTTTCCTTTAGATTGTGCCAATCGTTTAGAGGAAAGAGGATCAATCTGAAAGGTGGTATTCGACTGAAACGCTGCAATGCGTGGGTCAGCGTTTGCGCAACGAAGGTCAGGGAGGTGGTGTTTATACTTACTGTCCCACGAGCAGGCTCGCATTTCAAATAAATATAGCTCAGCAGAATAGAGGTCGAAATTTTTTTAAGCGCAATACTAACAGACAAGCAGGTGGTATTCGCGCGCCGACATATACACGTCGTCTTAATTACAGGCCGTGCCAAGGGACGAGGGACGAAGCTCCGTCACAAGAAAGCTTCCGATGAAACGCGAGGGGCGTTTCATGAAGGCTACGATATTGGATCGCTTGTTGAAGAAGCCTGCAAAAATGATACTGTTTAGTCTGGTAGCTTAATTGTTTGACTAACGCATCTGCAAGATGCGAACAATGAATCCCTGGGCACTGAATCAGTTCTCGAACTACTGTATTTGCATTCTGAAAGCGAAATATTACGATTGCATACTCGGGCATGAAGGTGTGTGGCTGGATGGAGCGTAATACTCATTGCCTCACGAGCCAGTTAAGGTCGAGACGAGATATCTGGTAGTAATATTTGTGTGTACATTATATGTGCTAAGTGACGAGTGAATGGGGATGTGCTCTGGGTTTATCTAAAATCAGTTAAACGTATTGAAAGTGGATATAAGCAATCACAGAAAAGGTCAACTCGAGCCTCTCGCGTTCCCTTGTGCTGGACCCGGAGGAGCAGCTCCAGGAGGTGGAGGCGTTGAATCTACTTCCTCCATAACGCGCATCTCTGCCTCAATACGCTCCCGGGCACGCACAACTTTGGACTGGATGTAATGTGAGTGCGTAGGCGGAGCAGGCTGTTTTCCCGCTCTTGCGCCAGCTGTCGGTGGGTCTGGAGCGGGCCGGGGACCATTCACTTTGAATAAATGTTCATAATTCTGTCATGGCGGTCAATATTACATGCAGTCAAAAAGTCGACAAAGCAATATAAATTCACCTTCAACACATTCTCGAGGGTTTCTCCCTGCTTTATATTCAGAATGAGATGGGCCTCGTCCAGTGTCATACGGTGATCTCGTGTGAGTTTATCTGTCAAGGAGCCAGAGGTAGCATTCCGAACGCCTGCAATGTCCGATCCTATTGCACCTTGCGGGGTGTGCCTCGCATCTGCAATTGACGGAACGAAAAATGTGAACACTGGTATTGTCAAAGATGAAAATGCTAAAGTAAGCACTTTTGGCCGCCTGTTTTCCTGCTTCAAATAGTGCCTTTCCGAAAATTTGTGCACCTGTGACGAGAATTTGTATGATGATTTTTGGGGCCGACTACAGGTACCCGTCAGACCACAGACCCAACCTGAGAACAACTAAGACTCACCATCACAACCCCTTCAAAATTACTAAAAGGAAACTAGAAATGGAACATATATAAGGGTGAGCGTCGGACGTTAGTGGGATTCAATAAACGAAATTTCCGAGTCGGCTACGCCAGTGTCACATGATCGATACCGTCCAAAATTTCTGCTTGGACTGAATCTCATACCATGTCACGATGACCACATCCCTAGGCCTCTCATTACCTGCCTCGGGTCACAAGAAACGGAAGCAGCGTGCATCCGACGCAGACCACGATGTACCCAGGAAGAAGAAGAAAGAGAAATTGAAACAGGACACGGGGAAGCTCCCCACCGAACCTTCGACAAGTGAATTCCGGGTGACAAAGGCAACCATAACACTCTCTGTACCTCCTGTATTCGCCAGTAATCTACGCACGGGAGTGGAGGAAATGTTAGATAGCATGATTATGCGGTGCGATGGTACCTCCTCTAGATAAATTTGTGATACTGAACTAGATGTGAAGATATATCCCGTCCTTGTGTGGTGTTCTCTTGGCTCATTCAAATTTACATTTCCTAAGTCCAACGGCGAGCATAAATGCCGATTGTCCTTTCGCGATCTGTAACGTTACTTTCGATGCTACGGTCTGGAGCCCAAGTATAGCCATGAAACTTAGTACGTGCTTCGTTTGCCTTGTATCGTTTGAATCGAATAACACGCTCTTCAATAGTTGGCAAAATTATTATGTACTCTCCCGATCATGTCTCGCTTCTCCTCCACCGTACCTTTAACGTTTCCATACCACGACATCACATTCCGCAAGATGTTTGGGAATTCGAATATGGTCCTGCAGAAAATGATCCCGAGTATGGAGAAGGTGCTGTAGGGTCACCTGTCGATAGAGAAGGGGATGCAGGAATGAAGGATAGTGATGCTGAGAAGATGGATGCTGAGAAGACGGAAGACGAAGCGGTACCGGAAGCGAGCGGACAGTGGGTACACCGTTTGACGGGGACGAAGCTTGGCGGCACAGATGGGTATCTAGAGTTTACAGTCATTGGGTGAGTGGACAGTCATTTTCAATGAAAGGAAGATTGATGAACTTTTATGACAGAAAAACTGTGGCGAACGAAATGCTCTCCCTTCAGGGATCGATACAGTCTGATCCCTTTTCTGAAGAACACTCTACTACACAATCAGGGAAGAGCTCCCGCAAAAAACGTGATAAATAAGTTCGGGTTATCTGATGTTCCCTTGACCTCTGGAAGCGCCTGCTATGATTTTAGTACATAAAAGATGCACTCCCAGGGTCGTCGCCAGTGATATGAAGAACATCGGCCGTTTCGCCATGCAAACTAGGAGCCCGTTCGAGTTCACGTTATTCGTTCATTGCTTACAAGAGGTTTACTTTGAGCTCTCAAGGATGGAGGGGAACCCCGCATAATTTAGCACCAAAGCACCATTAGGATCAATGCGACATTCCCAAAAATATCATCTTACTCGGTGTCGCGCGCCATCCCCTTGAAACCTACAGCATTTATCCGGAGGTTCTGTTGAATTAGGAAGACTTTGAGTGCATACGCAAGTATGGTCCTTGTAGTCCCAACGAGGAGCTCGAGGGGTGATGGCAGTATCAATAAAGCTAGTAGTCAACGTGTAAGAGGTAGTCAGGGCTCTTGATCAAGCAGATAGGTCGGTAACTGAAATGATTGCAGTAATCATTCTATCAATTCGGCCTTCCCCAATATTTCAGCAGAACCATGTGGTGCACTGCAATCAATTAGTATGTCTATTAGATTGCTCATAGCAAGAGCTTGCACACCCTCAGTCCATCTTTTCAAACACAGCCGTTCAAGTCAAGCAATACAAGGAGTGTGATATTAGATGGACTAGGACATGCTCTAGATACGCAAGTCGGAACCACTGATGATACGCCTACAATGATGGATGAAAAAGGGGAAACAAATCGGACCTAATCATCGTCGTCAACAGCGGCAGCCGGCGGTGAATCCGGCCATTCAATGGGCTCATCATCCATGTCTAGAGGCTGAGTGTCCATCTGTACGTCTGATGGGTCGGGGTGAGCTTGGCTATCTACTAGCGTGGCGTCCTGGGTTTCTACATCCATGGCTTGGGAGCTTGCCGGAGGACTTCGCTTTGCCTCTTCAGCCTCAGGTGTAGCCTCAATTTTTTTCTTTGCTCGCTTTTCCTTTTCTGCAGGAGGCTTCGATGGCAAACCAAAGAGTGTAGTCTGTCTTGAGAGGTCCTTCTTGTCCTTTTCTTTTTCCTTGCCTTTAGCCGCAGCCGGGCCTGTTAATCACAATTAAACGATTACGAGAAGACAGAAAACCAGGTTTCATCGTTGCTTACGTTTTTCTGCGACCTCAACCTTGTTAAAAAAGCTCTCGCTCTTTTGGATAGGTTTGTTGAGCTCGGGTTTTCTTGCGAAAGGATTTTTCTTGACTTCTTGCCCAGTCTTCCGAGAAAATGGGTTGTCTGCAGTAGATGATTGAAATGTAAGCGCGCCCAGGTTGAATAGCTATGCACGTACTAGGCTTTGGCGACGGCGCAACATTGGACTCGCCAACGGCTCGCCTCTTTACCCCGACGTCGAACGTATTACATGAGAGGTCGTCATCATTATCGTCACGTTTTCTCTTTCCCTCGGGAGACGTTGAACGAGAAGCGGAAGCCCGTGGCGCGAGCGAACGACCTGCTCTGATCGCGACACTAGACGCAGTGAACTCCGTTTGCTCGACGATCCCAGCAGATCGTGTCAGACCAGGTCTGTCGACTTTGGGTGGCGGATTGAAGTTCTGGAAAGGCTTCGGTCGAGCTAACGGAGCATCATCGTAGGCAAATCCCTGTCTCGCCTCCCTCGCTTCCTCTGCTGGTGTTGCGTTCTGTTCCCGCCACAATTTAATTGCTTCTATCTTCTCCTGCAATCCAATGAGGCGGTAGAACCCTGCAAGTTGACTCGCAGCCGCAATTGAGTTTGGAAAATGTAGTCGTTTGACGAGCTCAATCACACGTGGGGCCTTGTCCGTCTTGCAGGCAACTTGGATGAGCTTGATCAATTGTTTGTCAAGTTCAACTTCGCGTTTATCGATGTCGGGAGACGTTAGTTCGTCACCAAGGGCATCACGAGCAAGGTTGACTTGGATTCGCTCACGAGCAATACTAATGATTCATTGTTCAGCAAGAATCATGAAAGCGGAGAAAATGCATACCGCTCTTCAATGGGTGAATCTACGGGGTCTTGATTACGGAATGGCAAGCGGACGGGAAGCTCTTGTATGAGAGGTCGTGGGAAACCAGGGTATTCTTGACGACCCTTGAGATGGAGTCAGTAGCAGTAGGGGTATCGAAGACTGAGCCGCCTACTTTGAGAATCAGACACATGAATGTGTCTTGACTCAAGCCGACAGGCCAATACGACTCATCTTTGCCCTGCTTGCGCTCTAGCAAATTGGTATCCATGAGACGCGCCCACGCCGCACGATTCGGGCGTCGGTGATGGATCATAAGATGTATGTAGCCGGCAGAGTCATATATTGCTGGGGCCTAGCATGCCAATTGAGAAGAGAATGTCAACGAGGATATTCACGTACCCCTTCATCTGTAGTTCCGATCCACCTCAGAGTGTGACCTTTGGGTATTGGTAATGGCTTCTCTTGAAGAACTTGAAAGTCTTCAAAAGAAATCAGCGTGGCGACCAAACTTTGGGATCCTGGAGGAATAGAACTGTCAACATTGTGTTATTAAACAGGTTAAAGGCCTTACCATCAATGGTAGTCGCGCCAGGTCGGTGCACCACAAGTACATATTCCTCGGCGGCAGCCATTGTCACATATTCACCCTCCACGCCGAGAACAATTCTTTCCATACCAGAGCCGCTCAAGAACGTCAGGTCTCCAGAACTGGTCGCGATCACGATGTTCCCTTGTCCCTGAATGTCACCTCCAGACGACGAAGGATCTCTCAGAGATCGCATTGGCCTCTCACCACCTGCCGCGATACCAAGGACACGCTGACCTTTCGGGAGGGCGTATGTCCAATCCCCTTGCGTGGACCAAGTACCGTAAGGTTTATATATGACTTGTGCCGGGTGATCAAGCTCAGGGGGGCAAGCAAAGAGTGCACCGCGTTCACCTGTGAAGACGTCAGACTTGCTTGTGGAAGTTATAAGAAGCTAACCAAGAGAGCCAAGGTCATATTTGAAGTGATCGGTAAAGTGGTAACCCTTGCGGGTTGATCGGTCGTGGAATTCGACATTAACGATGTGGTGAGTATCCTGGTCCGTCACCTCAATGACACCAACCATATTGTATGCTATGCTGAAATAAGTATGAGTTGTGACTTGTCAAGAAAAGTCTTTTTACCGAGGTAACGCTTTTTATTTTCCATAGGCGTTGACCCTGGTTGGAAAGCAGGCTGAGCCTTCGTGATGCTCACTGAAATATCGTCAAGTCATTTGTCGACATTTACCCCGGCGATTTTGGCTCACCCATCTCCTTCACGAATCCGTCACCTGAGCGCATTGCTTTTGCACCTTCAGGCTCATCTTCCATCCCATCACCAAGATCGTCAATAATCCAATCATCGCCATACGGGTCACCCCCCTCGGCAACTGCCTCAGGTTCTTCGCCCCACAACGGTGGAGTGGGCTTTCGCTTTGTCGTCGTCCCTTGAGCGCTGCCTGCGGCCGTTTGGTGCACGGGATCAGGTGACTCCGCTGGAATTGCATCCCGCCACCGAGAAAGAACACCTTCTGTATCTGTCCATGCTAAGAGGTTTTCTGTAGGTGAGAAGGCGATTTGAATGGTGAACGCATTTGGGGTGCCTGGGTGCCTGCGACAAGTGTGTGTGCAGAAGCAAAGACAATCACAAAAGCTTACTTCCAAAGCACCCGCTTCGTTTGCACACTCCATATTAATATCTCTTGATTGCAGGCGCTGGCAAGGTATACGCCATTGGCTGAAAGCGCTAGTGCTGTTGTTACGCCGACAGTATTAGGATCAGACAGAGATGAAGTTTTGGTCCATGTGCTCCGCGAAATCGCGACAATTTCTATTCAACCATGAGTGAGAGTGTAGCTTCAATAGCCTGTCGACTTACCGTGCGTTCGTGATGCTGCAAAGAAATACTGTCCTGACGGGTGCCAAACGGCAGAACAATCATGCATAAATTCCGGAGACCTTGTGGGGGTCAGCAAGATGTCTCTGCAAATGAGGCGAATAATCCTCACTCCGGATCTACCACTTCGGGTATTACACCATCAATAACATTCTCTACCTTAGCTCCAGTATCAGATATATTCCATGCTACTATGGTCCCATCTGAGCTACTTGTTGTCTGAAGAACGAAATAAATGAATGAGCAGTAGCATGAATTCTATCAAAAGCTCATACCAAAATGGTGCCCGATGGATGCCACGTTGTCTTTCGTATGCGTTTCTTATGCCCTCCTTCCAGTACCACCACATTTGTTATTTCATCCAAATCAACTATTTTCACCAAGAGTTCGCTAATATGCATGAGAATAATCAGTATACACAACAGCTAATGCACGCATAAACACACTCAGAAGCGACAGCGACACGCTTGCCAGAGGGATCTACTGCTAAACACCTAATTGATGCTCCAGCAGCGCTCATCACAAGTCCATTGAACTGTGCCTTTCCAGAAATGTACTTTCGCACGTCAGAGTCGTGGCCTCCAGAGAGCCAACAGCCTTCCTGTTTTCCGTCGTCAGCTCAGACAAATCCAGGATACATGGAGAACCACGCACAGCAGCGGCGACGGCCGTGATTCCCTCATCAGCTTCATATGCAGCTTCTGGTTCCTGGTCTTCCCCTTGGTCAGTGTGCCAGATTCGTACTAGGGTATCTAATCCTCCCGTGTACGCAATCCTAGGGAAAGAGAGTTGGGTCAGCAGCTCTCTCATCTAGAACTGGCTACTTACTTCCCATCACGCGAAAATGCAATGCACGTCTGCCCTTGCTGATGAGCCGAGTTGCTGATCGCCTTAGAAGTGCTTGCCATCGTCGCTGGTCAAGGATTCAAAGTACGGGACAACACTTCACGACGCGGACGCGATGGTCACAATCACGTGACGGTGTGTTAATGTCACGTCACCAGTCTCACTGAACGCATAATCTCTTATCTTGATTTCCAAACAAAGTCTTATGCGTTATGCATGTTAGCGCACATCACGCGTTCCAGCCTCAGTTGATAGTAATAAATCAAACAGATAATAATACCAGCAGATGCTGACACGGAACTGGCTGCGGTATAAGTGATTCGAACAAGAGTCAACTATTGCCCCAAACACTGCGTCCTTACAACGCGAAAACCATCAATTAAGCAATTGACGAGCTTCCATTGCTCCATCTCCCATGGCTTCTCGAACAATGCATCGAGTGGGTCATCAATCCAAACCTCGAGATTCACCCCCGGCAGGTTGGGTAAGAGACTGTTAAGGACAAGAGCCACATCCAATGGAGAGCTAATTGGCGAGTTACCGAGGATGAGTTCTCGCAAACCGTTGTTGCGGTTACCGTTTCCGGGAGATTTGACGTTTATGCCATCGAGCTGCGTGGTATCAATGACAAGGGAGAGAGATGCCAATTCAGGGCAAAGTCGAAGCACATTGATTAGCCCATGGAAGGTAGGCAGCACAGTAATAGTGGGGTCGCGATAACAGCTCAGTCTGAGTGTTTTGAGCTTCGGCCATGCATTTACCAGCTCGCCTAGTTCATCATCGGAGATCGAGATGGTACATGCTGCCTCGACATCGAAATGGGTGAGATTGCGAAGACGGCGCAGAGGGCCAAAGTTGCCTGGTTGGGCGTATACATTGTGAAATGTGTTGTAAAATGGTTCGCATAGTGTTATAGCCTCAAGGTTGTCGCATCGTTCCAGGAGTATGGTGCAGAACTCGGAAATGAAATTGGATTGCTGTTCAAATGCGTTAGAGGAAAAGACGGCCATAAGACGTTTGCTTTGGACGGCCCGAAGAGAACGTAAGAAGTCCGTTATATGGTTGAGTCTGATAGCTTGAAGACCCAAGAGTTCCAGACATTCTAGACCAAGTGACTGCGGTGGCAACCCCGTGCGTCGGAGAGAAGATGGCCCTATGTAAAGCCAAAGTGTCTTCAGAGACTGTAGCTGTGTAACGTGCATCATCCCTGGATCTTCAAGCTCGCACACAGTCAAAGTAGAAAGACGATGGAGCTGACATATCGCCTGTGTCAGGAAGGGCACAAGCTCGCGGTTCCATGTTGGGTTGTCTACTTGAGGTCGAAAGGAGGTGAGATTAGGACATGCGGTCCCGATAGTGGATAACATGCATATCAAGGCCGGCGAAATTGAGGCAATTCGTAGATCCAAGGAAACCAAGGAAGATACAAATGCCATACGCAAGAACTCGATGGCGAGATGGATTTCATGGACATTCCAAGCCAAACTTCGGAGATTTGGAAACATGGTCGATGATGGGTAAGGGTAAGACAACATTAGTAAGCGAAGATATTCAATAATGGACGATGGATCTTCAGATTGTGTGATGGAGTGCACGCGGAATGCGTATTTACGAAAAGTGGCCCAGGTCGTGGTATCGATGGGCCTGAGCAGTATCTGTACAAATTACTAAGTGAAGATTCGCGCGAATATGAAATGCTTACCAGTTCCCCTTGGAAACTGTGGCCCCAGAGATGCGTTGGTATACAGTTGATCAATGGTTCTAGGGATGGCAAATTCCTCCATAGGGCGTCAAGTGCTGGACCTTCAAATGTTCGACACGTCAAGGCAAGGTCGGGAAGTGAGTCACGATCAGTGTGCCAGCTGATCTGGTCTATAATTTCGGTAAGGCGCAGAGCTTGATGCATGAGATTGAAAGCGCAAAGACAGGATTGGGTGTGATGAAAAACAGGAGCTCCGGTACGTGACTGAGATAGGAGCACTCGGTGTGGTGCCTCTATAAAGGCTGAATGCGCCACCATAAGCCTGTGGTGAATTCCAATAGTAGACTAAGTGATAGATGGGCTTACAGGATGCAGCTAAGGCCGCCACGCACGATCGACTAACTCGGTGAAGACATGTTGAGTTCAGTGGAGGGCAATGATAAATGCAGTGACAAACCTGTTAAATACGGAATGTATTAGAACAGCCGCGTGGTGGCGGGCAATAGACAATCCAGTGTGAGCAACACAGTGAAATGAGCCCTCGCCACGTCAAAGCGGCAAAGCCTAGAGTGGCAAAGTAATCAGTCGGTGAGTACCTGGATGATTTTTATTATCCCCGTAGGTAGACTAACCTTTGCTTTGACTCTTACAGTATCAACTTGAGAAGTAACTGTTACATAACAATTGTCGAGAAGTGATTATTGTCATATAGTTATTGTGGCAGATATGAATTTGCACATATTTGTGAGCTGATTAGGCTATGATATTGATTCGATTCGATGTATTATAGAAGTTGGCGCCACGGTTCATTTTGTATTTTGTTGTATCTTTTGAATAACTGCTTTCTTCTGCTCCGTCAAACATTCTAACACAATTCTAACAACTCACTAAAGTCCTCCTTGACCATCAGCGACACCCTCTTCTCCCGAATTTCTTTATCATTTTCTCATATCTTTATATCAACCCTTCCGAATATTTCCACCATGTCTTTCGCCGAAGTTGGTTCCGATTCTCTTAGGCCGATCCTTCTACGCTCAAGTACACCAGGTATGTGTATTTCTTCATTTTTATGTATTTCTACAGCTCACAAGTTGATTCCGTGTGATTCCTTTTCCGCAGCTCCCAATGAGAAAGGTAAGCCTTCACATCAATATCAACGAGCATCGAACTCAATAGTGTCATATTTCGTAGTCCTGCTATATCTGGAGGGTATGCAAAGAGAGTCTATGGGTCTCGGATCGCCTACTTCTACTCTTATTCGTAATGGCCTTCCGTCTACAAGGCGCAGCGCCTTTGGTAACGATGATGGCGCTTCTGATCTAGACTCAAACGTCCAGGATGGTCGAAAGACCGAGATGTCCATCAATGTTCATTCTGTAATGGTGAGTATCGAATCATATTAAATTTTTGGATTTTTGTCCGGCTTTCCCATGGTCTTAAACGACGTACTGCCAGCACGAACCTGGTCCTCAGGATCCCCCAGGTCCGCGTTATGAGTCGTTTGATTCTGGTCCTTCGTTTGGCAACAAAGGCCCTTTGCCTGACTTTGGGCCCAGTAGCGGAGCACCTCCCTGGAATGCTTGGGAGGTACGTCGCCATCGGGCTCACATAATTATAGCTCCAGTTCCATCCTTGTACTCATTTCATTCAGCATTCTACAGTAGCCGGTGCCACAAGAGTGCCTCTTCCAAATTCTGTCACCTCCCCGACTACTTTCAACATCAATATCGAACCTCCCTCTACACCTAGCGGTTCAAAGTCACGCAAGTCTGCCTCTCAAGCCAGTGGTGCCCCTACAAAATCACGCAAGTCAACTACTTCCGTAGTTGAAAGCGATTCACGGGATACCATCAGAGGCGTATGTCTTTTAGTGTCATCAGTCGTCCAAGTGATTGATGGAAATATTATAGCACCACAATACTCCAAGCAAGGCACACACAACACGCAGCGCAGCACCCGATGAAGTTCCCTTATCCCCTCGCCGATCACGAGCCGGATCAAGATCACAAGTCCCTACTGAATACCCTCCTTTACCTCCCAGCACACTGCTAAGTCCGTCAGGCCGGACCAGCCAGCTTCCTCTCTCCCCACGATCACACCACCGTGCACCAAGCGTGTCACCATCTGACTCTCCCAGTCAAGCCCCATTCAAGGCTGCTAAGATTGCGGCAGAGAGGGAACTAAAGGAAAAGGAGAAGATGCGTTCAGTTGCGAGTGCAGGCCTCATGAGCGATGTCGATGGAGCTGCGTCGAAACGTGGAGGTCCACTGAGCGCTGCTGGCAGCCCAATGTCTCCTTCACATCATAACCGTCCATTCTCCCCTTATCGTCATGCCGCCACACAAGAGCCCTTACTATTTACCGCAACAATGCAAGTCCAGAGGCAGACGTCTTCACAATCCAACGCATTGTCTCAGTTGAACGTGGACACATCTCAGCTGAACGGCGGGGGAGGCGGCAGTAAATTATCTCATGTGTCGCACAATTCGCACCACACTCACCAGTCCCATGTCTCGCATCAGTCCCATGTCTCGCATCATTCACATCACACTCACCAATCCCAGTCGCGCGCGCGCTCGCCGGCACGCGTGGAAGAAGATGACAGAGCGACGCCCACACCCTCTCGTCCGCATTCTCCGTCGTTCTCCTTGAACCAGGCTGAGGAGGAGTTGGTAGCAAAGGCACTGGCCGAACGTGGCGCTGGTAATCGCACTTCTTATGCCCCTAGTACTCTTGAACCAGAAATCGTCGACTCTCACTTCCACGATATGGACCTTTGTATCTTACTTCATCAAATGGACGATAACACCACCCATGAAGTGGTGAAGAAGGCGCTGCGAAAAGCATTGAGGCAGCGCGTCAAGAAACTGGGCATGAAATATGACCAAGATGTGCGCTCAACTGTTTATTCTTCATGTTCAATGTATCTTACATCCTCGCAGTCCATGCGACAGTACAGGAAGTCATTCCATGATCATGATCCTAGCGTTCATTTGGATGCGGGCTTCCAGCCAGACACAGTAAGTTACTCCAATTGTTGGTAACGTTTGAATCTGACATCAACTCTGCAACAGCAAGAGCCACCTGAATGGGCCAAAGAGCTTATGAACGGAATGATAAAAGTCCAAGAGCGTCTCGAAACCCTCAGCCCTCAGTCATTGAATGCGCCCATGCCGCCTCGCAGCCAACAGTCGTATGCCGAGTCTGCTGTTTCTCGAGAGCAATACCGAGCAGAGACAGAATATTCAGAAAACATGGATCAGTACGGCCAAACCCCGCGCACTCAAACTGTGAATATCAACACGCAACCCACTGGCACGATTCCAGAATCGATGTACCAAAATGAAACTGCTATCATCGGTGTGTTTTTTTACGCAGTCGAGATGAATATCCTGATGAATTGTAGTTGAAGAGGATGATGAACTTTATGGCGATCACACTGAACTTGAGCAACGATTTGGCGCTGGTACGATCACTGAGACACGGGGAGGCATGAGCGAGTTTTTGAGTGGCGATCGAGACGACTCTCCAGGCCAGCAGTTCCTGGAGGAGGAACTGTACAAGTTACGTGTAAAGCCTGGAGGAAGCCAGTCGGCCATTACGCACAAGACTTGGGAAGTCGCGAGAGACGACCAGGACGAGTTCGAGGAGGGTCATGGAGCGTTCACTGAATCTGGCCTACCTGAAATTCCCGACTCGGGCAACTATACCGAGCGCCGTCAGCCCTCTCCGCCTCTACCGCCAGTCCCCGGACAAGAAATTATTCGACGCGAGATGGTGCCTTCTCAGAACTCACAAATTCGCAATCCTGGTCATGACTACGGCGAGTCCAGTCCCCCGCCGTGGCAGCGCATCCATCAACGCCTCCTCAGTTGGGCTATCATATGGCCAATGAGCGAGATTGATGCAGCGTTGGGTAGCACAACTCGAGGGCAGCAGGTGGATGAGGTTGCGCTGAGCATCTGGTCGACGCAGACGTACAAGCGATACGTGAGAAGCCGCATGACGGATATCCCGGGCGGGCGTGTGGACAGGCTTTTCGTCCCTCCAAACATGGCAGATGCGATCAGCACTGCTGTATTCAATGGCCGGCATGGCGATGCGTGTGGAATGCTGAGGGATCTATGGGCCCCTTTTGGTTTCGAGGATGCTCCACGATTGATCGTTGTACTTGCGAAACATCGATCAGATGCAGGTCATTGGGTCGTCCACAGGTTGGTTGATTGATTTTACTTTGCGCTATTTAATAATTGTTTCTTAGATTCTCGCTCCCTGATGGCTCACTTACGACATACGACTCGTATCCTGAACGGACGCTTCCCGATGGACGGGTGAGGAACCTGATATTTCATATGCTCAGCAGATACTGAGTTCTCTGACAGCCTCTTGGTTGGTGGTTTGCCATCCGAGTAGCATGGCCCGGTGCCATTTACGCAAACCCAGACCACCTCATGCAAAAGATGGTTCGCCTGCACCGTCCTATGCAGCTCAACATCGACAACTCCGTCGCCGCAGCTGGTATCTGGCGAAACGTGCTCATGGGCTCTCGCGCAGAACGCAGTCTTGACCTGGAGCGTCTCCGAGATTTAATCAATACAGAGGTGAAGAATTTGAGGCAGCGAAAACAACAGGGGAAGTTGTCGATTAGCTCGCCTAAAGCGAATTGGGAGGATTTAGTTTAGTTGCTTAGATTAGATTATATGACTGGACTCATTTGTTTGGTTGGTTATGGTTGTGCTGCTTCGTGCTGGATCTGATGTATGTACAGTATCATGGGATAGGTACAGCAAGGACCTGCTTTTTCATATTCAAGTTGCTTCGATGCTTGTCGCAACTTTGACTTTAGTCGTAAAATTTGTAGTACCGAACATTTAGACCATCTCAATTGGATACTTTGCGGACCATCAAAAGCAACTCGGTATACGTGTAGGGCTACACAACCCTCAGGTAGGTTGTCTTCCTGACGGCGACGACTCCTCATTGCGCCTGATATAAGCAGGCAACCAAAGTCAATATCAGTCAGGCACCAGAAATGATAAATGGTCGGGAGCTTTACCTTGTCGATTATCATTCTGAGTTCGTCTCCGAAAGAGCACATGCATTCAAAGAGAAGCGTGTATGAACACGCATGACTTGTCCATGTGCAGTACGGTGCAAAGGCTGCGGGATATGACGTCCTACAATACAGACATTCAATGAACATGTGGACCATGAGTAAGAATCCTCGCACGCGATATGAATCAAAGACTCATGATGGTCTCGGTGAGAGCCTTTACATGATCTATTTCAAGTTCGTCTTGAGGCCGATTGGAGTGCAAGGTTGTAGGTCCCCCGATGGCCTGGAAAATAAGATTGTAAGCATCACATGGAAGCCAGCTTTGATACAGGACCATATGGCTTCAATGATGAAGAAATGGAACGACCATCAAGGGATATCGATTAGATGTGAACGCACCTCGTACAGTTTTTGTGCATTCGAATCAAGAGCATGTCTAGTTTGATCGATTTGTTCCCTGCAGCGCTGCTTTTGCTTCTTCTTTGAAGAAGATTTGGCTGCGCTCCTGCGGATTTCCTGGGAACCAAGGACTGCGCGTTTATTTTGAGTTTTGCTAGTCTTGCCCATGGCCGTGCTTCAATGGACTCTTTCAAGTCAGCCTTCGACACGTCCTCGAACA